ACTTTTTTTTTATAAACATTTATACTTTGATCAAATAATATTGGCTATTACTATATACTATAAGACGAATTCATTGATAAACTTAGTATAATTTAGCAAGTACGGTTCAATGAAGGCACTGAACAGTTACTGAATAAATTTCTATAAATCAAAAACTCTTAGGCATACCGTCAAACGTGTGATTTGAAGCAATTAACAGGCAAAATTAAAAGGATGAATGAAATCAAAAAAATAAAATAGGCGGTATGATATCGTGTTTAGAATTTATGTAATATTAAATAATAATTAATTGGATTTGTTCTCTTTCAACCAGTTTTCAGTAGTGACACTGAACTTATCTCTATAGCTGCACAATATATATGAAAGCATATACGATAGAATACTGATTATCATCACACGTAATTTTCAAATTGTTAATTATGCAATAGTGTACAACATGACAAGGCACAACGTGATATGTCTGGAGAAGTACAGTTTGGAAATGAAACAAGTTTAACCAATAAGAAAGATGGAAGTACTACATCCCTTAAAAACCAAATGTTAGCCCATTTTATGAGTGTTTGTGTGTTAATCCAAATTATGAAATAGACAAAAATTATATGTGTATCGCGTGCGAAAAGCAGTTTTGTAGAACAATTTAAATGCAATTATTCTCAACAAATTCATATTTATTTACAATTGTATGGGATTTAAGTTTCACAGACTAAAATATGAATAAAACAACAGAAAACATACAAATGAATTTCGTCTAAGAAATATGATAATAAGGATAACGATCAGAATAAAAACAACAATGAAGGCAGTAAAATTGACGAGAAGTCAGATGAGTCATCAGACAAAATAAAAATAAAACAAAATAAATGGTTAAAATTTATTTGTGGTAAATTTTGTAATTATGTATTTTTCCTCTACAAATTTCTCCGCATTGACTTGTAGTGATTTACATATTCGATAAAGAAAATGAAATTGAAAATTGTTGAAGTACGATGTAAAAACTATACTTAAAATCACGATCTTACAGAGGAATTAATGATAAATTTCCAGAATTCAGTAAATTAAGAATAGACCTCTGGACTTGATGAAAAAGTCTGACAATTTTTACTACTAAGCGAGATGTAAGGATGATGTGTTTGATCCCTGACGATGGGGTAGTGGAAACATACTGCTGAAGAGCCTCGTACTAAAATGAAAAAGCTGCTGAGTGCTTCCAAGTTTCCAATAATTGTTTGACTAGGATCAGTCAGTAATAAAAACTATGAAATTTAACAATCTCCAAAAATATTTTGTAGTAATAATAACTATTAAGTTCGAATAAAGTGATAATCCTGAAAAAATTCAGTTAATCGAAAAAAAAGGTTGAAACAGAGCACTGATAAAAACAGTTGATAATTAGGTGTCAATTTTTGGAATTAATCAGTAATATCTTTTTGATAATCGATTGAAATGAAGTCATTCAGTCAGCTGTAACCAACGTAGAACCCGATACAAATATGCATTAGCCAGAAATTACTACACCAGGTTACCAAAATGAGATGAAATTAACAAGAGGAATAGTAAAAAGAGGTGAATGTCGTAGCAACGATAATGAAAAAGGTCAAACATTAAGAATATGATTCAAAAAGGTAGAGCGGAAAGGTATCTATGAGACAACACTAGTGTAATAAACAAAGACGTTAAGACTAAATGAAATAAGTGATTTACTGGTAGAAGACAAAGTTTACTAGCAAAATGTGTACGCCTTATGGTTAAGCTTCCATTTACAAAACAAACGGATTATTGACTGTTTTCTAGTCTCCAAAACACAAATAATCGCGCCATACATCCGGATCCGACACTCTTAAGTAGTAACTTTTGAGTGAAAATCCACTGCATACTACTTATAAGCAGCGTTGAGAGTAGTACCCATCACAGTAGGACTTAAGATCATGAGTACGATGAAACAAACTTATAAAAAACGTAGCATAGTTTAGTTTAGATTTGAAATTTCATTCAGCCAGATGACAAAGCCTTTTTGGATAAAAGTGAAGTAATGCAAAATATATATAACTGTACTTAGATGACCATAAGAAATAATTCTTAATACCCGGTTGCCGACGGAATTTCAAGGTTCATAAACAAAAAAACAACTAGTAATAAGTAGGAAATCGACAATACAACGCAAAAATAAGCTGTGCTTTAAAATATGCCAGTAAGATATGACAGTAAAAGATAGAAAACACTTAAAAATGATATGATTTTACGGTTGATGAATTCCAGGAACTTCTTCACACAAGTAATATTATCGACAGAATATAGTCTGGTGCAAAATTAAAACAGAAATAAGACGAATACTTCGGAATATACATTTTGTAAGACCTGGTTATACTAAAAGACTGTGAAAACTAAAGTGAGTAGAACGTACTTTAAACAAACAACCTAATAGTCAAAGGTCTAATGCTTTTACTAAGAAGCCACCGATGAAAGTAGACAATGACACAGATTGAACACATCACTGGATAGTGTTGCGACAACTATATCTATAAATTGAGCTTACCGCATATAAGAAATATTATATCGAATGGATTAGTAACAATTACACAGAATATTATTTATCATTTCCAAATATCTTTGACTATTGTAATCAAAATGTAAGCAGTAAAAGTATAAGGTCGAATTTATTGATAATGTTTATGCAACACAGAAAAGCAGTTAGCATCATACACACACCCACACACACTAAACAAAAGTTAAACAATGAATTTTTGTATTAAAACTAAAATTTGTCTCATAATCGTTTCAAAATATCTATACATTGATAATAATTTATAGATGAAAGCTATTCAAATACATATTAATCAATTATCAATAAAAATTTAAAACATACCTGATATTCACCATCAGCACTAATATGACGTTGTACTAATTTTGATACATCTTGAATAAGCTTAAACCAACGTTCACAAAGTGCAGCACTTTCAAACAACAAAAATAATGGTGCGTTTGGGATATAATCATCCACAGTAACCTAATAAGTAAATTAGATAGATTCATTGAATCATTTCACGAATAAAACAAAATAGATACTCTGGGATTATTTATATTACAAATCAATTTTACGTACAAGTTATATTATGATGGAAAAAAGACCAATCATAAAAACTCAACAATTAAAAAAAGCAGAAAAAAAATTCACGTTCGAATACTTCAAGTCACAAGGGTTTGTAGGAACTGTTTTAATGGCGTCGAAACAAGATATGCACACATTTTCTTTGACTGGAGTTGATGGATATTCGGATTGCAAACTAAAACCATATTGGTGCTATATATATATATATATATTCGCATCTGATACTTCCTGGTTGTTATCATTATGTACGAAAACGTTTATAAACCCAAACTATTAGTGACAGTTCAGTAAGTCTAAACATACGGAATATGATTTGAAAAGAAATAAATTCGTGAATTGACGAGTACATAATAATACTGAAGTACAAGCAATCATCTAATCTGCAATGACTACAACTGCATCATCTAATCAATATTATTTATACATTAGGCCGAAAAAAACTATACAAAGATAGGCAGTTTTACCATCAATAAAAGCATATGAATATACATTTTGTGCTGGTCAAATAAAACCCAAGTGATATCGGTAGAAATTCAAGTTTGCATTAACTTTACTGCCGAAAGCACTCGCGGGATTTATCAACCTTCTGAATAATTGGAGTAAAAAGAATGTAACTGATAGTTAACTACAAGTTGACCAAGGAAAGTATGAACCGACAAGTGATATGTTACCAACAAATTGATAAATGCCACTTAATTAAGCCAAAATCATATTGAAAAAGATACCAGAATAAATTATACATTCTGTCGAGGACAACAACATATATTATAAGATAACCTAATTAATATGTTTTGCAGAGACCCAGTGTAATAGAAAGCTTTCATTACATTAACATCGGAAAACGAGATAAATATTTTTTTTTAAAATACCTTCAATATTTTTGGGATATCTTGTTGCTTTGCATGGATTACATCAGCTGCAGTAACATAAGATACAGAAAATCCCGGACTACGTAAATCAATAATTCGAGTTGGACTGTTCGACTGGAACATGGAATTTGTCGATACATTTAAAGAATTCAACGATACATTATAGTTACTTGATCGTTGAAAATTTTGGAAAGATGGAGATAATGTATTGCCACTTCCATTTAAAGCTGAAACATTCGACGATTCTGAAACAAACTTTATTTAATTAAAGAAATAAACGAATAACACGTTAAGTTCATGAGAAATTTTAACTTGATAATATTTAGTTTATCACTTTATACTATGATACAAGACAATAATCGTTTGTTTTAATGTTGCTGACTCCTGGGCTAACAGATAGAAATGATAAAACAGCGGAAAATACTACCAAATCGAAAAAAAAAACAGAATGAAAACCAAAATGGGTACTGGTCAAATTTTTTGCTTTATATAACTCATTTAAAAAAAGGTTCAACTAGAAAAAAAAGGCAATCAAACTACATTTCAATAACAGTGAATTGTTTAAAGTTCACAAAAGTCATTGTGCAGTTCAACTGGTATTCACAAATAATTTTAATTGATAAAATCTAATATGTTAAATAAATAAAGGTGCAAAACAGAATCAACCTTATGGTCACTTAATAGTACACTTTTTCTGCTTTATACAACCTTGTAATTAAAATAAAATTATTCGATAAATAAAATATAAATTATATACAATGAATTATCCTTACAAATTGAAGCATGATAAGATGCTTAGCAAGTAACTGTTTAACGGTTAGTTAAGGTGAAATAGTCATTTCATTCAATACTTGTATTCCATTGATCGATCAAAACACACACACACACATTATCATTTTTTAATTATAGTTTACATTACACTATGCAATCTTCCCACATTGAACTTATTTATTAAAATATATCATGAGTTGTTATCTGGGTTTATTTCCAAAATATTAAGACGAATTTATAGGCTCTGATTTTTGTTCAAAAAACACTATGCCTAAGTCAGTCAAAATAATGTTACTTATGGTGATAAAGTAATTTGAAAATTTTTGTATATGACGTGAAAGACGGTATTCATTAAATATGGAGGAGAATTCAGCACCATTTGACTGCTGGAATTAAGCACATGTACCACTGCAGATGTAAAGGCGCGGATTAGCAAAGCAAGGGCTGCATTTCTACAATCGAAGAACATCTGGAACTCGAAGCAAATGTCAACAAAAACCAAAATCAGAATTTTCAATACAAATGTCAAAACAGTTCTAATGCATGGAGCGGAAGCTTGGAGAACTACGAAAGCCATCATCCAGAAAATGCAAATATTCATTAACAGTTTTCTACGCAAAATACTTCGGATTCGTTGGCCAGACATTATCGGCGACAACCCGCTGTGGGAAAGAACGAACCAGAGAATAGCGGAGGAAGAAGTCAGGGAGAAGCGGTGGAAGTGGATAGGACACACATTGTGGAAAGCACCCAACTGCGTCACAAGACAAGCCCTCACTAGAAACCCTCAAATTGAAAGGAAAATAGGAAGGCCAAGGAACACATTACGCCGTGAAATAGAGAAAGATATGAGAAGAATGAACAAAAATTGGATAGAATTGGAAAGGAAAGCCCAGGACAGAGTAGGTTGGAGAATGCTGGTCGGCCCTATGCTCCATTGGGGGTGAAAGGCGTAAGTAAGTAAGTACATAACAGAATGATATGAATCAAAATTTTTTAATTGAAGAGCTATCATTACTTAATTTGAATGTTATTTCTATTGTGGTAAGATAAATAAGTAATCTACACAGTTTAAAAAGAAAATAAATTATCTAATCCTCCATTTAGTCTTACTTTTGCCGACAAATTTTTGTAAAAACGATACCAAGGTAAGCATAGATTTGAACAGAAGAAGAGAACCATGTTTGCAGTTTATCAATATAACAATATATATAAAGAAATACTTACATCGTAAAAGAATAGGCGCTTATCAGATAAAAATACACGATATTTTATCCATCCACGTTTGATCCCACCCAGTTTGGGCATCTAGACATTGAGAAGTAACAACAAAAGTGAGCATTCACTCATATAAATGTCGCAAGAATAGTATAATTAGTAAATCTATAGTAAATTAAGAAACGGTGTATTTTCAGCGTTTCAGGGAAAATCATTGGGGTAGACAAAAAAAGCATCGTGTATCATGGGACAATCGAGTAAGCAATGTTGTTTTTAGGAAACGGGTCCTAGGTAAGTGTGGCAGGTTAATAGATGAAGTATTGAAACTTCATCAGTTGAGGTGGACTGAGTCAGATCAGTAGGCGTCGACTACCTGGTTGGAGTCCGCGAGATGATAATAACAGATGGTTAGAGACCTTGAATGACATGGATCAAAGCCGTTTGCAATGGTGCAGGTGCATTCATTCTTTGCGTTCTCGCGAATCCTAACCTTCTGAGTTCCTCATCACCTATATCTTTTCTTTTTTATTTCACTAGATTCTTTTTCTTGAATAATATCTTCGAACCCTAATCTCTCCGATTACTGCTAATACTTTCACTACCTCTACTACTATGGGATTTAAAATGACAATTACATCTCTGTGCTACTGTGGTATGGCAACATAAGCGTATGTACGTACGACGTTCCAAGTTGCTATTGATTGATCGATTAATATAAAAGGAAACTTCTCAAGATTTGAAACTGATTTTCAACTAGAGTAGAATATACCTTATGAACCATTCCGTTTCACTTAAAAATGAGTGATCATGAAAACAGGAAATGTATGACGTTTTCACTGATAATTTCAGTTTCCGAAACCCATTTTTCAGTGTATTCACCCTAAAATTTAACAGTAATCTACATATACTAGGTAGAATTCAGCTTTTATCAATGATCCTGTTAAAATAATATAACTTTCAAAATGAACTTGCTAATCTTGATGATAATAGAAAAATGAAATAGACTGGATAAAAAACTCCCAATACTGAATTCCGGTTCGGCTTTTAAAAACACACAAGTTCATCACGTATTTTTCGTACTATGAAAGGTTACAGGCTTGTGTTACTGAATGGGGTCTTCAGGGCAAAATCAATTTCTTAGCGACACTAATTATGCTATATCAATTTGTATTTCAAGTTTGTTTCAACCTTAAAAGTATGAACTTGAATCGACTTAATCAAGATAACTGATTTGAACTCAGTGGAATAATAAGTAATTTTTTGAATGATATAAAGAGCATAAAAAGTAGACCGAGATTACTGAATATTTGCAAAAACTCACCTTTACATCACTTTCAAAATCAGAACCGAAACCATGGGAGGTATCTAAAATGAAGCGAACAGTAATCAGAAGAAAGATGAATAAACTACACATTTTTGAAACCATGAATCGATCAATGTTAGACCACCATTAGAAACCTGGAAGCACTGGACGGCCGTTTCGTCCTGTTATGGGACTCCTCAGCAGTGCGCATCCACGACTCCTGCACCCCGCAGGATTCGAACCCAGGACCTTCGGTATTGTGCGCGAACGCCCTAACCGATAGACCACTGAGCCGGTATCTAACGGTGTTAATGTCTAACTTGATCATATTCACGGAGTTGCGCAACCTCATACACAGTCTTCGGTAGTTACTGTCTACACCCGAACAGGTTCTATGATTTACGCCAAATGAGTTCAAGATTATTAGGGTCTGAGGATCAGTCTAAGTCATATTTGTTATGTCAGAACCGAAACTGAAAGGATGGTAACTCTCAGGATTATTTTATGGACTATTATTATATATATTCTTATTAAATAATTACTCAGTAACAATATTATTATTCACAAATATTCTTCGTAACCTGAGCTGCTGATTAACTGATCAGCTGCTGACTTACTACACTCAATCTGTTGCTAGTTTATTATTCACCGCCACTTTTTGGCCTGTTTGTGTCAAGTTTCATTTTTCATTTATTGATCACGTATTCCTGAGTATGAACCACATATATTTGAAATAAATGATTCGATTCGATCAGTGAAGGATGTTAAGGACGTGTGTACTCATCGGGCTGAGTTAGGAGAGTTTTGGACGAGTAAAAACTTAGATGACAACTACAGTGTATTAGCGCGGAATTGCATCTTAACTAGTGTGTTGTATGCATCACGTGATACTAAGCAACGGATAAGAATATCATTATAAATGGTGGTTAGAGGCTTTGAATGACATAGCTCAAAATCGTTTGCAATAACTTAGATACATCCACTCTTCTTCTTTCCTCAAATTATAATCTCCTGAATTCCTCATGACCTTTTTTGCTCATTTTAAATTCACTTCACTAGATTATACTTCTCTAACTAAATCTTCAATCCCTAATCTTTTTGAGTACTGCTAATATTTTTACTACCTCTACTGCTATGGGATTTGAACTAACTGTTGGTTTTGTGGTGATTGGCACTACGTACGATTTTGTCCATATAAAAAACATAAATGTCAGATGTGCCTTAAACGTGGACATAAAGAAGGCCATTGCCAACCAGATCGTACGTCTCAGCCCAAGAAGAAGCGCAAACGTACTCGACATGTGGTGAAATCAGCCGAGTCTAAATCACTTTCTCTTGTAGCTGCTTTTCAAACAGAATATGACGTTCGGAGAAAGTATGTTACTATCCAGATGAACGGTGCATCAGCTCGTTTCCAAATCGACACGGCATCAGATATCACCTTAATGTCTAGAGAAACGTACAACATGCTGGGAAAACCGCCAATGAAGCCATCTAAGAAAACAGCTAAAAGCGCTTCAGGTGGTGTGTTAAAACTGGTTGGTGAATTCCAGTGTAAATTTTCCTTCAACGGAAAAAAATGTACAGGAATATGCTATCTGACAGAACGGCCAAACCTTGATCTTCTTGGTCTAGATATGCTAGAAAAACTGGGAATAATGGATGTACCCATTAATACTGTCTGCAACATATCGTGTTCATCATTGGACACCCCGATACTTAAAAAGAAGACAGGTGAAAGGTTACAATATAAACGAAAGAGGAAGTCAGCCTCTGTTTCTCGGAATAGCCTTGGCCGCTGTACGAATCTGAAAGCTAACCTACCAGCGAAAGCAGATGTCAAACCTACTTCACGTCCGAGACGCCCTATACCATATGCTGTTCATGAGCCTCAACAAAACTTACCGGTGGGGAAGCAGCCCGATCGACGGTTGTTTAAAGATATGGTTCCAGCAAAGCAGGCGGCTCGTAAGAGTACGGGTGGCAAGGCACCCAGGAAGCAGTTGGACTCTAGCACCAGATCCTACGAATCTTCTCAAAGGGGAGGTGTTAGTGGGACATAGATGGATTTAAAGCATGATTACGTCACTACGCGCTGATTGGCTAATTTCCTATCCAATCAGCGCCCGATCGAAGCTTGGAGAACAGGATAGAAAATTCTCGTATTATTAGCTGCATGCTGATTGGTCAAGTCTAGTCCAGTCGATCACGTGAATTTTCTTCCAGAAGTTTTCTCATCTAAAGGTTATAAATAGACTCGCATTGTACTTATCTTTGCCTTCTTAGCCTTCTTCGCTTTCAAGCCTTTTTGCCTTGGCTTTCGCCATCACCTCCAGCTTCTTTTCCTTGCTATTTTGGAATACAATCCTTCCTGTTCAACCGTGTTTTGATTTGTGTTACTGGTCCAGTGTTTTGTGTCAAGAATACTAAGCAATAAGATTTAGCCGGGAAATATCGTAAGCAACCGTTACAACACTAACAATCCCATTTCTCAAAGCTAATGTGTTATGGTAACCTGAACTGATGCACGTACGTATGTTGCAGCTAACTGCCATAAAATTATCAGGAGCAAAACGAAAACTAAACTCTGTCTACTTCATTAAGCCAATTTTAATGAGATTAAAATCTAAACCATATGGAAAATCTTAATAATTAAATTTTAAAAGCTAAACTAACCATTGCAACTGAAATTTGGCATAGTACAAGCAATGTGTACAGATATACGACACCGATAATGGCATTTTAGTTGACAATCTTGACATTGGACACCTTGCCACTTTTGACCGAGTATCAAACTGCCGCAAACGTAACATTTTGTTGGTTGTATGAATGTAGCGAAAGTAAATTTGTGTGTAGAAGTTGATGTTTGAGATGCTCCAGAAGCATCTAAAGTTGTCCATGAGCTTTGCTGTGCTGGTGTCGATGTATATGGGCTGTTAATATCAAGTGAAGGTAAAGAACGCCTGTTGTCCACTGTGTTCCTATCCGAAGTTGATTTCTAAAAAGCAAGATGATTTTACGTAAAAGCTTTCTTTGAAAGGATTTCAGTAACCATATTCAACTAACTTGAATGAAAAATGCTACCAGTGTTTTTGTTTAAAACGGTGTTGCAGTTGTAGGTGACGTGGAAAAGAATAGCTTTAAAAGAATTTTAAAACTGGTATGATTTAAAAAACACAAGTCAAACTGTATTCCTGCTAAGCTATTCAAGCTTTGTGAATCAGAACTAGGTGCACTATCCTAATATCCAACAAGTTGTAGAAACAATAAAGTTTACATATCATTGATGCCAAAACTTTTCAAGTTTGCATTTTCAATTATATATAACATAAAGTAGTATATAACTGTAAATAGTTGGGGATTTTCTAACGTGCGATCAATTTCTGGTACCTACTACAGGAATTAGTGTCTGGTCTTTCTTTAGATTCAACTGGAAGCAGACTAAACTAGCATGAAAGACCAACAAGCCCTTGGTTTAAGCGCAAAGCTCAATGGAACCAAGATATGAGTGCATTCTGTTCGATAAGTGTTATGTATGACGTAGAAATGTAGTTTTTTTAAAAATTAATACAGGACATGAAATCGCATACAAGTAAAGGAAACAGGAATCAATCTTAAAATAGTATCATAAATCCATACATAACACTAGTAATGGACATTTGTAGACCGAAACAAATAGATTACATTAAAGCATACAGCCAGAAAATACTGACAAATAAAGACACTGAAAATGCACTTTATTTATGGTATGCAAGGTAAAGAAAGGGAAAGTAAAGAAGCAGACAGTTTTTTGTGAAAAAATTTACATTGGTGAATTTGTAACAAAATAATTTAATAAGTATTTCCATTGACCAAGGATTTTTCGAAACAATAAAATAACATTTAATTCTGATAAATCAACAAATTAATGTGTGTTAACCAAGAAATCTGTTAATTATGATAGTATCGAATTAATGAGAAGTGAAATAAAGAAAAATACACATTAAAATGTAAATGAGAATTATTTTGAAATTAAAAAAAGAAATGATCATAGACGACCAAAAATACATATATCATATTTACTCTTAAAACTGTCAAAATCTTGTGTACGAGAGAGAGGGGGGAGAGAGGAAGCGAGAGTAAAGCATGATGTTTACGTATATACAGTAGGGTAAATAGATTTTATTATCATAAAGTAAGCAGTGATCACTAAAGTAGTATGTAGTGTAAGGTGACTGACATATGTTGATAGTATGTATGATGAAACGATAATTCATTAAAAAATATCGTAAAATAAAATCATTTAATTTGTTTACAAAATTTGTTATTGAAAATGAATTTTTCAGTCACCTGTAGTTTAAACATAAACATCAGTTGAATGTGTTTAGGTTATTAAGTGTACAACTACATACGTAAGCATGAAATTCTAATTTTTTTATGTAGAATCGAGGCTTTTATTGATTGGAATCTAATTAGTCTAAACACGTAAACTTAGATTTTGAAGTCAAGATAAATTAAAGCATTGATAAACCCTTTTCCGTTAGATAATTAATATACTTTTATATACAGTTCACAGATTGCATTCAAAACAGTTAAATATTCAAAAGTTATAGCACTACAGTTTTAAAAATGATGTAGCGAGATTAAAAAAAGATTTTCTCAATAATACAATTGAATCCGACAAATTATTCCAGGTGATTAGTCATTTTACTATTTCATTAAGTTGAGACCAACTGTCATTTTTCAAGTTAATAAATAGCAACCTACACAAGAGTATTTTATTATTGTTTAGTTTTATTTAATAGATTACCTTAAATAACCTACATCTAAAACACTATTAAATTGGATCATTCTAAGTCATGACAAACATAGCGAACAACGATATTAAAAGATAAAAATGTTATCAGCTAACAAAATTAGTGACCAATTTTTAACACGAAACAGTAATCAAAATTTCACTGAAAATCATTGCTACTATGAATGTTTAGAAAATGATTTAAAATGTGAATTATTATCACGAATACTTAAAATAGAACGAATAGTTGTAATTGCTAATGAGATTTATTTTGTACTAGGTAAGGATGGCAGATCTTCATCAATTGAGGCTGTAGGAACATGAGTTACTGATTCCCAACCACCAACTGCCTCGATGAGCGATGTTCTGTGATGTAGGGGTAGGCTAGGAGAAAGCTAGGGGCGATCAAACCAATACATGGCACAAATTCATGCAGTCATTGACAGTTGGACTGAGCCTTGTCAACACGTGTAGACTATTTGGTTGAAGTCCACGAAACCATCGTAAACGGTAGTTAGAGACCTTGAATGACATAGCTCAAAATCGTTTGCAATAACTTAGATACATCCACTCTTCTTCTTTCCTCAAATTATAATCTCCTGAATTCCTCATGACCTTTGTTTGCTCATTTTAAATTCACTTCACTAGATTATACTTCTCGAACTATATCTTCGATCCCTAATCTTTTTAATTACTACTAATACTTCTACTACCTCTACTACTATGGGATATAATAATATGAATGCAACAAATGAAAAAGTTTATCGTAGAAAGATATTTCTAAAAGTTAAAAATAGTGATAACTAACCGGCATAAAATTAGATGCATCGTTGATAGTCTATTAGTAAGAAGAAGAAAATGAACACCAAAGATATTGATAATGTCAAAACAGTAAGAATGCTTACAAATAATAATATCATGTATATATACTATCCTCGTAAATAAGTAGTATAGATAAAACAAAATTGAAATTTATTAGGGGAAATAAAACAAATCTACAATAACATTTTTTATTCCAAGAACAATATTAATAGAATTATTTAGGCATTTGAATTTGCGTATGTGTGTAATCTATTATCTAAATCTAATGTAATCTAATCTAATTATTATTAACTTGCCATAACAACCAGACCAACTTCAATGTTTTTTTTATTTCAGAGAATTACAGTGACATCAGTTTTGAAATATGATATTAAAAGAATATGAAAACATAATAATTCAAGGTAAATACTTATACCAGATGATAAATTTCAATACTTGAGTGATTTTACAATGATGATTCACTACTTAAACATATATATTATGTGCAGGAAGGAGTAAACACAATGATTGGTCAATGTATCTTAATTCCAGTTACGACTTATATCAGTCAGTCGTAGTTGGTATCACGAACTGATTTCAGTTCAAAAAGCGATGGGAACCAGGAAGTACTCAATAACCGTTTCATTATAGTATCGGGCTACTTTACAGTAACAATCCATGACCCTGTCGCCATAAATCGAACATACGATTCTCTGATCTTACAGTGAGTGCCCAACCTTTCGATCACTCAAAGGCATTCAATGGTTTAAAATGAATTAAATGGCTAACAATCATTTACTAATATCATACAACCATCTTTCGATGTACTTGGAGGGTATACGCAGATAGGGTTGAACACCACTAGTCACGGCTCCAGAACTAACCCCTGAGTGATCATTATTACCATACATGAAGCTGATGGATAAATTCGTGATTTAAACAATAAAATACAAATCTCTAAAAGCTCTATACATTAATAGAATAGAAGTAGCTTATATTCTCGTAATCCTTATAAACAAATATTCTATGTAGAAAAATGATTATTTTTCAAAATTAATTCCGAACATAAAACCTATTCAATCGTTCTGCACATGATGTCGGTCTGTTCACTTTCATAAGTATAGTATTAGAAAATTAATTAACATTAATAGTCATAATCTTTAATAATATATACCAATTCTTGCAGAACTATACATTCGGAAGTTATACAGAAATCACCAGAGAACATGAAAAGGACAGATATCATAAACTTGAACCAGTCTCCATAAACGAATTGTGAAAAGAGGATTACAATAAGCCAAACAAAAAAAACTTAGTTCGAAAAGCAATAAATACAAACTAATAATAAGTGACGTAGAGATTTGATCATGAACAAGATCTCTAATGATGTGAAAGATATGAATATTTCTTTTGGAAAAACCTTAAGAAGAAACTGGATCAGTGATGATCTTACGGACGCGGGGGCATTGTGGTAGTGTTTCGTTCTCTGAGATGAATGTTTTGGTTGTGGTTAGTCAGTCAGTCAGATGCAGCGTAGGACTTCGTACGTAAGTACATCAGTTCATGTTGCCATACCACATTAGCACAGAGATGTGATTGTCAATCCAAATCCAATAGTAGAAGAGGTATTATATTTTGGTTGTGGAGCTTTCATTGTTCTTCTAAACAACATCATCAGCACAAACTTCAGATAGAAATGAAGCATTCGAATTTCTCCACGTTTGACCTGTAGCTTGTTCTGTTAACCTCGATCTTGATCGGTTGCTGTTGACCCTAAACCTGTTGTTGTTCGCACCTTTGTTTTGATTGTATCACCCTCTCGATCTGTTACTTGATCCTTATGATTTTTCTGATTGGTTGGTAAACAGTCAATGTCGATGTGTTTGTTTATTTCTGATTGACCTGAGTGCCAAGCTTCTAAAAATTCTCTAGCGTTCTTTGTCCTCCCTCTATCTCGTATTTCCTTATTGTCCCAACCGAATGTATGTCCATATTATCGGTGTGTATTGATATAAGCGAAGAATTGTCGTTGTGTTTGACTCCTGCTTGATGTTCACGTAAACGAAGCTGAAGAGGCCGTCCACTTTGTCCTACGTAGTGTTTTTCACAGTCTGAGCAATTTATTTTGTAGACGATATTTGGTTTTACTTCTTTTGTCATTTTGTCCTTTGGTCTACATAGGATTGATTGAAGTGATTCTGTTGCTTTGTGTACGACACCTATTCCAAATGGTTTCAGTAGTCATGGGAGCATGACTACAAGGCCAAACAGACAACTGTTTGAGGCCAGTTACATGTGGCTTTTCTATGAGTTTTTGATATGCCAACTCCGTACTTTAAAACGCTTTATCGTTGGTAACGGAATACCTCGAAAAAAGTGCAATGTCTTATTTCAGAGTCAAATTTCTCCAACCCTATTGATTCTGTTATGAGAAGGTAACATCACTGAGGATGCTGGTTTTTACAGTCAACAGTATGATTTCACCCAAGGACCCTGAAGTGAAACAACAGTTTTAATCCATATAACTAGAATGGATCATTACAATTCACAATCTATTCGAAAAACAAAATTACTACTAAAGTGTGAATGTCCTATAGATAATTATTTATCCTTTGATACCGCCTTAAAACGATTTACACAGGTGATAGTGTCACATTTTACTAGTGAAAGTATATGAAATTTAATTGGTTAAACACTTTTATTGAGTTTATTTAATAAACTTTTATTCATATGGTTATTTTAAGCTTACAATATTTTTAGTTAACCCAAAACTTTACGATTATTGTTGTTGCAAAAATATCAACAAAAAAGTTAGTTGGTCTAAATAAATTCTACATCTCATTCCTTATGTCACAACCATCAATCAACTATCTTATAACAGTATTTTTGGTGTTTATGTTCCATGACCTCTGTTTCCGTTCCTTTTACCTTAGTTGCAGATGATTTTATGTATTTTGTGACGGTACCACTAAATGTCCGAAACCAAAATACGGTATGATAGGGCCTGAATATGGGATCTATCGATTGGAACTCAAAAAACCTAACGAGAATAGACAACCATCTGATGATAATAACAAGTTTGGTGGTACTAAATTCAAAACACATGACATCATACCTCACTTAGAAGTAAGAGATGTAGGAAATTAAGCTACAAAGGATGTATACATAAATAGGAGTTAACAAAATACGATACAAATATTGAATAACTCAATACAGCTGAAATAGGTTTTCACCTCTGTCTTATCAGAACAAAAAGTACTTCATGATGTTTCCTAGTAAATGACACAGTATACATTTTAATTTTCTGTCTGACAACCGTATCCCTGAAGCCATATACATATGGACACTAAACAGACAAAATACATATATATACTGGTCCGTTACATTGCTAAAAGTAGAACAGAATAGAAATAAATTTTCACATGGTTTGTTCTATTTTGCATTATCATAATGGCCAACAAGAATAAAGTGATTGACATGAATGGTTTTGTCTAACTGTTGAGACAAAGAAATTATATTTCTGACTGTATAATCTTATATCCTTGTAAATCTTAACAATATTATCAACTGACTAGGCATGAAACATTCTTTTGTTGATCAATTGTAAAAAATCTTTGTTATAAATTAAAAAAAAAACCTGTGAAGCAAAAATACTGCATATCGCATGTATTATTATTAGAGACGGGTAGAGAAAGTTTGTAGCTCAGGTGGATGATTGTGATGGAGTTTCGTTCTCTGAGCCGGATGTTTTGGTTGTGGGGCTTTCATTTTAGCGCAAACCTTCAAATACTTCACTTCGATCCGATGCTTGTGCTGATGATGTTGTTCAGAAGAAAAATGAAAGCCACACAACCAAAACATCTGGATCAGAGAACGAAACCCCACCACAATTATTATTATTATTATTATAGTACATTGCTGAACTTACATCATTATTCATACGACATAAACGTGCCTGGTTGGAGACTGAAATTGAATAGAAAGAAATTATGTAAAAGTTAACGTGGTTGCTTAAAGTAGTGAACTGTTACTTCAATTACATATAAATGAAAAACCGAACATTAGATTATGAAAAACAGAAACGAAGTAGCATTTTCAGAAACTAACCAATTACCAGTTTGAGAAATCTCCAAAGAACATTCTTACAAACAAGAATCTGCTTCAAATACGTATATCACCTTCCTTATAATTGAGTGTGTTTAAGTGCTGAACTACAAATGGTTTCACCTAGACAGTAAAACTAGATAGATTTCTGGGTTTTTTAGCCTGGAATAAGATCCTATTATTGTAATAGTAGTGCTGAATAATGGGTTCTCCAAACAACTGACTATTGTCTGATCAATGCATGCTTAGTCATTAATAAATATCGCAAAACTTGATATTCGTCTTCAACATAATTCGGCTTAAGTGTACACATTTCAGTGATAAAAATAATTTGCCTTCATATTTTCAATGACAATTTCTTTGCATAGAAATCGTGTTAACAGTTTTGAAGCTGCAAAATAAATAATTTCGTCAGTATAACAAATAGAAAACTACTAATTGAGTAGTTTTTCTTAAGAATTCTCAATAAATAATATACTTATGATATTTTTCACATAATTAACAAAAATAATAAATGACACTTGAACTAGTTACATCGATCTAATCTTGTCTAATTATTTAATCTAATTCTTAAAGTTTTAATTAGGACACAAACAGTTTAACAAAATAGAGTCATTGTTCAACCTCAACAAAAAATAGTATAATTTTTTTTATATATAAACGCTTAATATACAGAAGAAAATAAACAAATCAACTTTTTCACATTTCTACTATACTGTTATACTGAAAGATGAAAAAATGAGCTTCTAAATTACTATTTGTAGGTAAAATATTTTAAAACAATAAATTGGCGCCTTTCAACAAGATACACACATTAAATAGACATAAATATTGATATTAAAAGAAACAGAAAAATAACTAACAAGACGGATAAATATATATATATATATATATATATATATATATATATATAGATGTATAAAGATTGAATAAAAATGGAGATAATAATGAATGTGAATAGTTAAAAAAATAACAAAGAATAAACAAGCACAAAACGAGTACAAAACTCACCATCCAGTAATTGTTCATTCAAATGTTCAATAATACGATCTTGTTCTTTAATTTTTAAATCCTTTTGATTATTTTGACTTTATTCGTTAAATCGGGTAAAAGAACAAGAAAAAAATGAATGAAACTTACAATGAATAACAAATGATAAATCAATTTTTCTTCAAATGAAAAAAAGGAATCATAATACCCGAAATGGATAACAATTAGAAATAAACTAGTTTCTTGTTGTAAGCACTCGATTACAGGTGTAGAAAAAATAACATTTGATACATAGACTGATGACAAAATCCTGGATACTTAGAATATAATTTTACAGCTAAGATGGATCTTAAAATCTTATTATTGTGCGGGGATAATTCAGCCTTAAAATAACAATAGTTTTGTTGTTACCATATAAGTTTCTAATAATAATGTTACATAAAACAGTTTAGACAATATTGATTAGATGAATAAGGACATTTGCTATTACAATACATTATTCATCAGTGAAAATACGAAATAACTAGAAAAGTACGTAGATGTTTAAAACAATTTAAATGATCTTTTTTTATTTAGTTTCCCACTTTATAGAAACACCTGTTTCTTAGATATCGTCTAAATCAATTATCATACAAATACTATTAGTTCACTGTCAAGAGTAAATAGTTCAAGTTCAAAAACATTGCCTGACATAAAAATGATTATTTGCAAGCATGAAGAGAGATAGATAGATAAGAAAAAAAACTAAAGTTCATTGATTGTATTTTCCTTGGTACAAAAAATAAAATCTCTTTTATACAAAACAAGAAGTTCAACACAAATGATTGTTTTTAGGTACTGCAAAAAAAAAAGTTGGTGAACAAATTTACTACTGTAAAAATAGAACAGCGACAAATAAAAATTCAAATAATTATGATCAGTGACATGAAAAAGTGAATCACCCATTACAAACATATTACTATGACGATTACACAGTAGTGTCTAAATGATCAAGACACTGAGACCGATGAAGGACAAGAATCAGTCAACAGAATTGATATTTTACTCGATTGTACCTTAATCATGCTCTTCTATATGTGGAAAAAGATGATTAAAAAACGACAAGACTAAAAACAGCTATTTAATATACACAAACGATGATGATATTACCACAGCCTACACTGCACACACACACACCAACTAACTGACTGTGTACAACAAACAAGTTTTCTATTGGTATAATAGAGTAGTCACAAAAATCTATTCAGTTTATTTAAATTGAGACAAGTTAGTGGTATCATCCGAAAGTAGCTACAATAATAAAATAAATAGAACACATAAATAAGAATTTCTCGAAGGACAATCAATATACACATGATTCTTTTTATTAATCAACTATATTTGCATATGCCTAAATAGAAACAAATGTACGCATGCACGCGCGCACGCACGCACACAAACAAACAATAAGAAACATGTGTTAATCAGCACACGACAACTATAACCTTATCAAGATGGATATTTATCACGCGTAAATAGAAATATGTTCAAACCGTAAAGCAAACAATAGTAGTAAAAATAGTCAAGTGTAGATTTGCAAAAAAAAGCCTAAAATCATTAATGCATACACACCGAGATGAAATGTTTATTCTTCAGTAACTATATAATGAAATTTCTTAATATATGAAAAAAAGGATGAATTACATTGATGTGAACAAATGAATTACAAAGTTTGTGAAATCAATGAGTAATTTATGATACTAGCATTCATATTTACTGTTTGATAGGATGCCAAAAGAAAGAAAAAATTGATGCAATGATATGTCGTGTTAAATTGTCACACCTACTTAAAGGTGTCATACAAACAAAAAGTAAACAAGAAGAACAACATAGTATGCTAGTTGGATATAGAAAAAGGAAGTAATGATAAATTACACAGAAGTTCACAAAAGAATGAACAATAAAAAAAGTGAAGTTAAATCACTGTACCTAAGGTATCTATAGCTAAACGTTCTCGTCAAGATAAGAAAATATTAAAATATCTCATGTAAAAAAGATGAGTTACAAGCTAGTTTTAAATATGAAACGTGTCTACATTTATGTATCACTTTTAGCATAAATAAGTCATTTTATAGTGCGATCATAAATGTAATAAAACACCTAATCAAAAGTATTCATCCGGATACTTGCATCCTGTATCAATTTCCAATTGTATTATGTGGATGTTCATTTAGATGACGTAAAACAAAGTCGGTTGCAAAAAAACAAGATAAGTTAAGAAATTGTATTCAGTGGAATGTTTTTAGCACACAAAAAGATCACGTTATATTGAAAAGCTACTAGAGAAAACACTGTAACACTTACTCGTACATCTCTTTCAAACGAGCTTCAACTTCTTGCAAACGTAGTTCCGCTTGTTCCCTTGCTCTTACTTCATTGTTTAAAGCTACTTCATGACTCCATCTTTCCATTTTATTTAATTTGGTAGATTTGCGTTGACGCCAGTCCAATGTACTTTCACCAATAACACTTTGTGCAGGACTATCATAAGAATTTAAATCATTTGCACGCCATGACGATTGGTAATTATTTGGGCATAAAGCATCCTGATTGTAATCTTGTACCAAACCTGAATTACGAAGTGTATCCAATTCAGACACTAAACGCTTTGTAAAATTCTATGAACGCACAAACAACAAATAAACACATTCAATAGTCAGTACTCTTTATAGTAATATCTAAGCAAAAATTAGATATATTTAATACTAATTAACTATTATCACCTACTACAAAAGCTATAGTGTAAGATAAGGAAAGTAAAAGTTTTCAAGTGTAACGCATAATGATACATGTAATTATAAATGATTTAATAGTTGATTATTATCTATACGTATTAGCTTGATTTGAATCAGATGAATCTCCTAAGACATTAAACTGACATTATCACTAATATTATTAGACAATGATAGAATCATTCTATTCAGAAGAAAAGTATACATACAGAAAGGTTCATTATAAAATGAGATGAGTAGAATAACATCTACTGTTTAACATCAATAAAAGCATATTTACATGCTTAAATGATGAAAAGTAGAAGAAAGCAAATAATATATAAAGAAAATCTGACAACAAGAGAAACTATTGTAATCTGAACTAGCAACTATATACAACCGAGCAATTACAATATAAAGAGTAAGGGTTTAGTGTGAGGATTACAAAATTGAACGGAATCAAATGCGACACTGTACAAAATAGATATAAAAAAGCAATTTCGCAGGGCACCTATAACAATCTAGAGAAATAAAGTACCAAACAATTTAATAAATACTGAGTATAGATTAGTTAGTTATAATTTTAAAAAATTACAACAACAGATAAAATTTCCTACAGAACACTTACATGAAGTTTTTCTTTAGCTTCACGTTCATCATCAACCCACTGGTTTAACTCGAATAAATGGCGTTCCCAGTTAGTTATATTATTTTCAAGTTCGGCATTATTATCTTTCAGTGTTCTTAGCTCTTCTTCCAAAGCGATTGTCTTGTGAAAGCAAAAGAAACGATTATTAAAAACATTAATACGTAATAATAATTCATGTTTTGGGATTCAGAGGATGTAAATGATTGATGTGTACTAAAGAATCCTTCCAATATTTTTTAAAATGATTTCTATTTCTCAGTATATTAGTGAAATTATTCAATCATTAAGTAAAGATTTTTCCTCATTCTGAAATCAGGATTTTCATTGACTAAAATTAACGTTTAATAGCAAGGCTAAAACAGGTCTACTTTTACGAGATGGACTCGCTAATAACTGTTGATAATAAAATATTTATCAACAATTTATGAACTAAGAAAAACTAAAACGAATTCATTAAAATGTCCATTACAGAAGTATCTATGATCATTGTTATATATATATATATATATATATATATACATGGAATAATAGTAACCAACGGATATTCACAGCCATAAAGTAAGACGGAGCGAACTGCTGAGCACTACACCCGTCCTTTGATTACCAGACGAATATCTCGCCGACGCCATAAGTGATGCAAGTTGGAGAAAGCAAGTCAAGCCTTCTGTATCCGAGCTGAGATTTCGTCAGTCACCAGGCCATCTGCACTGATGAGACTCCCAAGAGAAGTGAAGCGGTCTACACGTTCGAGTACGTCACTCCCTATCACTAGTTCAGGTGCCGATGCAACCCAATCCTGAAGTGACACTTTGCATTTCGACGGGGAGAACCGCATCCCGAACATGCTTGCATTGTTGTTTAAGATGACAGAAGACTGCATTTTGTCAGCCTTTTCACAAATAGAACTATGTCATCGGCATATTCTAAGTCAACAAATGAATCTCCTGGTATTGGGTCAAGCCCAGAAAAGTTCCGATTTTGGAGATGAAACACAATTTTGATTCAGCTGAAAATAAATATTTATTTAAATCTGCATTTTTAGTGAGTATTTGAATATTCTTTTTACCGGTAAAACCAAAAACAACGTTATTTTTCGCGATCATCTCATTCGTCATTAATGTAACTATTATCTAAATTAACAACACCAAATTTCAAAATCAGGCGTATCAAAACATGCTAACGAAGATTAATGCACCTTTTTCTTGGAAGCTTAGACAGTGACTTACTAACAGGTTTTCAAGTCCACACAAGTCACTTAAGTTTGAAGCGCCGCCAATGCTAATGATTCTAGTACTCTCCAGATCTAATATGTAATGTTCGCATAGGCTACGAATGTTCTTCGTACAACATAAGGAAATTTTCAGACTCTTCGTTCCATGATACCTCAATATTGACTTCAGATGCTGTCACTATAAAGTGTCTTTTTTCTTACATGAATACTATGAGCAAATATATCCTGGAAGTGGCACTCCAACTAAATAAATGCGTTAATACACTTGATGTTATATGAAAGTAAAACATAATTAATAATATCACATCGATTTATTCGAAAAAAAAGGAATTAAGAAAATATTCTCATGCAAACCAAATGAAACTAACACCAGTTACCTTTTGATTAACGGATATTTTAATTTTCTCTTCTAACATCTCACGTTCTTTCATCCATTCTTTTTGTTCCGACTGCCAGCCTAATTTCAAATTTTGTGCTTCAGTTTTTACTGCTATCAAATTTTCCATGACTCGTTTTAGTTTAGTTTCACTTTCATGTAAACGTTCTTGTAGATCCGAATCTGATGAATGGTTGTTCATATGTAAATGTTGTGTTCCATTAAATAGATTGGTTGAAGATGACGATGAAGACGACGATATGGAGATTTGATTTTTTATGCTATTTTCTAAGCTTCTAGATTCATTTTTATGCACTAAATTATGTGTATCATCTAATACAGTATGATTGTTGTATTGACGATGTAAAGTTGATTCTCCACGTAATCGAGTTAATTCACATAACAACTGATTAGTAAATAGATCAAAATATTAAAGAAAAATGCACATGAAATATGTGAATTTACCTTCAAAACTATTGTATATAGATATAAACAAGTAGTCGGAGATGATGTATGATGTGATATTGAATCACTTCAAATAAACTAGTTTCGTGCTAAGTTAAAATGATTTATTCACGACGGTCAAAAACCGAAGAATGAAGATATTAAGTGAAAAAAATACAATCATAATTCTAATTCCTAAAAACTTCATGATACTATGATTACTTTGATTGTTTGTTTCATAATTACATACATCTATTTTAATGCAAAATAATTTTTGAACTTATAGCTTGACACAGAAATACAGTGATTTACTTACCTTCTGTGTTTTTTTTTCGGACAAGAGTAACAATTAATTAATTAATTTTCTTAATTAATGAATTTAGATGTAAGTATCGTAGTAGTATTTTAGGTATTAAAAAAAGAAGTGCTTCATGAAAATATGCGACACATACCTAAACAAGTAACTATTTAGTGAAAAAAATCATAAGAAATGTTAGCTATAATTGAATTTATGGTACTATTTGCATATTCTAGTATTAATATTAAGCTATCTTAGAAGTAAAAGTTAAGATGATTTACAAGAAATGTCTACTATTCAAGTAACATCTGTCAACAGTGAACTTGGAAGACAATTTAAGTTAAGAAATAACGATCATACTATATTTACTTACGTCGACCTTCATTGATGATGAAAGTCGAAAGGCGAAAACCTAAAAAGTGGTTACTTAATTCCGGATTAATAGGTATGGTTGTCGAAGTGTTAGGAATACGTAGCTAGTATAAACAAATCTTATTAAATTTAACATAAAAGCCAAAACTAACAAATAGCCCTACAAAATGCAATATTGTGTTGTAGGACAACGAATAAAGCTGATACAAAGGTGAATTGATAAAACCATAATCAGGCCCACGTCCATAATTACTTTGAAGTTAGTTTATGGTTAAAGATTAGAGCAAAAGTGATAAAATCATTTGAGAATTTATTTTACAGTATAACCCTAAAAAATGAACACAAAAAAATACTTACTTCATTATGCTCTGACTCCAACAATCTGATAGCCAACTGAGCATCCGCGGCACGCTTACATAGTGATTCATTTTCTTCTTCGAATGCACGTACTTCAGACTGTAGCTTTTCTCTTATCTCATGTTGTTCTGAGAGTCTAGAACAGATACATTGGGAAATCATGAAGAATAACATTTTTAGAGTTATTTAGTTTTTAGTGGTGAAATCATGCTCGTAAGGTAAAAGAAAGCCTATGCATAAATAAAGACTTAATTTGCAATAAGCATGCAGAACCCCCATATCCAATCTAACAGCTTTGATAAAGGTACAGCTTAACATACATGGAAAAGTTATATGCAATTGCAAGATTACAGGGTGAGTGATACATAAGTATTGGGGAGTTGCTATCAGTAAGAGAATTATTCGCACATCCAAGGTGACTGAGAACATATCCCTATCTGCAATCAGTTCATTAACTCGTACATGAACAGGAACTGTGTAAATTATTACGTTCTCCAAACAATCTTAGTCTCCCTACCTTGTATAGCTAGATACGTCAGTGTTAGGAGAAAAAATGGATACTACATGACGTTCCAATTTTAGTAAAATGCACGGTTTCTGATGAATGCTTCCATTCAATGAAAATGAAATGCGGCCTACAGTAATGTTTAGTCACTTATAGGAGGCACTGACCATATGATAACTTGTTCAATAAAATTTAATTACAAATAAGAACTGAAAATAAGTCACTAAGACTGGTCGATTGGTGTCAGTATTATTTGTGATAAACTACAAAACAATTCCACTTATTCAATAACAAATTTCGATAATCACAAAAGGTCATTTTATACGAGAATATAATATGTGGACAGTTAACCACGAGAAATATATTGAAAAATATTACAGGTATGGATGATTATGCCACATTAAAATTATTTTGATTGATACTTATGTTCAGGGAGTAGATGTCATAATATATGTACACGAAATCATTAAGTTAAATGGAAGATAATCATATTCCTTATTTTGTATCATTGAATGTAAATGATAGTAGGGATGATATTGTAGTGCCTCCACATATATTCGAGTTCGCTTACATTTAATTTGGTTAAGCCCTTTCGATTAATTTATTTAACCAAGCCATTTGTATTGCAACAATTTGTATGTACCCTTCGTTCTTATTATTGTCTGGTTTGTATGAGCTCACATGACGTGTTCCACTTGTCACTTGACCTTGTCAATCATTCGTCGCTTTTATTCATGTGTGTGCATGCCTATTTCGCTTGTCACATGTCTGTCTTATATTTGTCTGACTATATATTCTTGGTCACGCTCTATCGCTTTGAGTTGGCTCAACAGCCTTCTCCAATTCACGTCGCTTCAATCGTTTTATTTGGTGCTTCTCTGCTTCGCTTTTTGGTGTGTCCGAAATAAACGTATTCATCACTACGAGTTCAACTTCTAATTTATAAACCGTCAGACGACAGTCAGTAACGATTGTCTAGACGAGCTAATTATGACATACTACAATATGTATGACGAAAAATCATGTGAATACCAACAATAACAAACTGTGGGTTTGACGAAATGCAAGCAATATGTAGGCCGAAGCTACTTATCGGATGCACAAAAAACATCCATATCGAAAAACCTGACAAGTATTGATAACATTTATGAAGTAAGGAAATAAAATTAGATTTAAAACAAAAGGGATGCCATCACTTAGTGTTTTTCGTACATTCTGGGGCCGCCAAGTAAGCAGTGCTGTTGCCAGGCGACCGGTATTAGGTAAGGATGGCAAATCAATAGATGAAGTATTGAAATTGCATCCGTTGTGGTGTTCATGGATTTGTGCCGTGTTTTGGTTTGGCCATCGCTAGCTTTCGTCCAACCTACTTCTACACCACAAAACATCGCTCGTCGAGGCAGTCGGGCAAAAGTAAGACATGTCATGAAGTCACTGACAAATGGATTGAGTCATGTTAGTAGGTGTAGACAACCTGGTTAGGGTCAGCGAGATGATAGTAATCTATGGTTAGAGCCCTTGAATGACATGGCTAAAAATTGTTTCGAATAGCACAGGTGCATCTACTCTGTGTTCTCCCGAATTCTAATCTAAAGTTAGTGAGCAGTTATACATGAATTAATACTGGGATTTGTAATAGAGAAAATAGAGTCAATGCGCCTGAGCCACTGAGACTGATACTGAGTGAGACCATTCTGTCCCTGGTTGTTTCAAGGATGCCAAACAGGTAATCTGCTTCCACAACCATGACTCAGATCGACAGACAATAACTTCATGAACTGTTGCCACGTTTTAGTTTGGCCACTCCTTTCGCCCATGAGGGTAGATTGTGATTATGCTTATGTAACACGTGTCCTAACCACATCAATCAATAAATCAGATCCCAATTCTGACAACTATGTCATCCCATAAAACGAGAGTAGCTCTGCGAAAATACGTAAAATCAATAACCTGTAAACTACTAATGTCTGCTGTCGAAAACGGGGTTTCCCAGACATACGACAGCATAGAATAAACTGTTGATCAGTATACTTATACCTCGCATACACCAAAAGTGATGCAAGTTAGCAAACACCAACTGATCTTTCTGAATTTATGTCGAAAATTAGTAAGATACAAACCTACAAGAGTGGTCAAACTTATAAATGAAATGTTTATGGAATTCGACGACCGAAATCCTTATTATTAGTTAGGGAGTTGACGCAGACCAGTTATGAAGCAACATCTTGCATTTAGAAAGAGAGAAGTATCCCGAACACACTTGCATTGTTCCTTAATTTGATGACCGACGGTGTAACATCTTTAGTCCCACTCTAAAAAGACGCATTTGTACACCCAACCATTATTTTCAGTGATACATGCAAACAGAGAACTTCTGAGATAAATTCATAGTATAATTGCTATCAGCTGACCCTGATCAGAATTAAGAAATTGCAATTATGTTTATGAATCACCATGAAACATAAATCCCAATCAAGATTGCTGTAAATGCTTAAACCAGAATACAATTTTCGAACATAAACATAAGTCAGAAAACTTACTCATTTCTAAGCAAATTGACAGTAGCTGAAATAAGTTGATTTTGAGCTTCTGATTCCTTAAGTTTTTGAGACAAAAGTTCAACTTGTCGTGTGATATCATTAACTGTTGAAGTATTATCTAACGATACATCTTGCTTTTCCAAATTAATTATTGTAGGGTCCGAATCTAACTTGACAGACAGTTGATCATCATCTTTCGATTCTCGATAATACGACAACGTGTCTTTTAATTCCATTATTTGCATCTGGAAAACAGACAATATTAATACATAGTAAGCACGTATGTATAACTCCAATGGTAAGCAAAATATGACAGGAAAACCGAGGCAAACAAATAGAAATGAGAAGAAAAATACGAACTGATGATATGTTGTCTATGATTTGTCATGAAATCAAGTAGTGTAACTGGGTTAATGGAGTTGAATTCATTTTATACCATGGTTTAAAATCACAGATTACGGTTGCCTCGTAAATCCTATAGCGGCTAACATTTGCACTTTTGACTTGTGCTAGCCAGTGTGAAACACAAGAGTATATTCCAACAACACTAGTTAATGACAAATACTAGTGACCTGCCAATAACCCTTAAGCACATTGCCTGTGTTTGAATCTCTGAGGTAAGATAACGTTGTCTGAAAATAATCAAAAGAGTCATCTCAATTTGTCAAAATTGCAGCAGTCACTAAACCATTACGGATGAAAAACTTCAAATAAAAGTGAAGCAATCAATAGGACCGACAACTTTACTCCGTATATTCAGGAGCCTACGGTAATAATGTCAATAAATTAGGGTAATCAGTATCAAACATTGTTAGAAGACTCCCCCTTCCTTTGATTAGTTGGGTTAATCACTAATCTAGCTTGAAGAGGAAATCAAAATGATTTTATTCCATGGAAAAAAATCTAATGCATTGGTCTATACAAACTCAATTAAACCGAAAACATTTTCAGGATTACAAACCACATCCAAGACGGTGTTGGGTGATTATAAAACCTTGTGTTATAATGTCGCTATGTAGCTATTCAAAATCCTACTGATTGACGAAATTCAATATTCCAGTACAAACCCAATTTTATATATTTATATATTTATACAGTTAGGTCGATTGGGAAACAACATTGAAGTATGTGACATTGGTAGTTAGGACGACCATAATATTGACCAGTAGGGATCGACCAATAGAATTAGACTTACAAAATAGTTCTCTTAGGATATTTGATGAATATCCTAACACCTTGTACTCTAGTTACTATGACAGTGAAACTTATTTCCAGATGTTCATCATATGAGCATTTACTCTTCCATTCAAAATAATGATCATTAATTGACTGATCAGTGCAACTGTTCGTACGAATGTTTAATGTTTTAACCGGGAGATCAACAGCAGAACCATCAGTTTACCCGGTCACAGTTTCATAAACTGACCATTATTTAAGTGTTCATTGAATTTAAACATAAGATGCAGAAGAACACATAGGAAGCACAAAGCTATTAAATATACTTCGTTGGTTCACCTCAATACCATAAGCTAAGATAAGTTATTGAGTATTCCACACACCAAACCTGTCATCCCAGATAAAAGACACTAATAAAGACTAGTTTTCTACATAGAAGTAAGTTATGGCGATTGTTCAAAAAGTAAGAAAATAGAGGAAGTGGTCATTTCAAGTGAAAATAAGGCGAGGATTTCTAATACGAAACTAATACGAAACAACATAATCTATATATTAAGCAAATAGATGGTACAATAATGAAGCAGACAAGTGGGAATGGACACAAATTGTAAATAAGTGCTTCTTGGTTGGCAATCATAATTACGATATAGCGACATTTGGGACTGAGTATTTTATCAAAAGCATTTAGAACATCACATAAAGTTCTGCTAGTAATCTCTCAATAATAATAATAATCAATGTCATTTTTGCTCTGTTTACAGAGATTAAAAACTTTTGTGAAACTTGTATACTTATTTTAGGCAGAGTGAAAATATCGTGAGTGCTTAACATTTATTTGTCCGAGAGTTGTACATATTGATATTTTGACAAAGTAAAAGGTCAGCACTAAATATGTATACATATTTCACCACACTTCTGAACTAATGTAATCACAATATGTTAGTTTTCATACAACAGTTTAGTTCTACCACTGTTGCGTGTCTTGTGAAAACAAATGAAAATGCAATCTGAAAAAATTTATGCTACAAAATGTGGCATCAGATAAATTTTGCAGAAATTGGAATGTTAACTACTGATCGTTTTCACATGATTAGTAGGTTGAATGAAATATCCTTCAAAATTCTTGAATAATGAATTGACATTCTAACAACACCAAACAGTATCAAAGTCAATTAATTTATGCACTGAATTTCCACATATTATACGCCTTTACCTACAAAAAATCAATAAACCGGATGGTGTATAACCACTAGCAGTTGTCAGCATCAGTGATGTGATATGCAGACGTTTCAAAGTACATCCAGTATATGTCACTCAATGAAAAATATGTTTCGCATTAAACGAGAAACGAATCATTCTCAGAATCACAAAATGAAATTATGCGTACACTTACTTCATAAGTTTTACATTTTGTCCTCAAGGATTCAATTAGTTCAGTGAAAGATGATGATTCATCTGTCCCACTCTCGAACTTTGATGCATCTGAAGGCTTTAACTTTTCACCGTCATCCAATGATAACGGTAAAGAAGGGTCATCTAAACTGTGTGAATCTAAGCATTTGGGTTTTGAATTTTCCTCAGTACATTCCAATTTGTCGTCCGATATCATTTTATAGTGTGCAGGACCTAATTCATTCAATGGTGAGTTGTTGGTAAATGTAAATCCAATACAAGCAACCTGACATCCTCGAAAGATCGGTCCAAGTGGTGGCCCTTCCTAAAAGCAATTAGCAGATTGATAACGAGATGAGGTCAAACAGAGGTCATTTTCTTGAAAGCAAACATAATGAACACTGAAAAACTACAGGTCATATTGACAGTTTATGTTCCAACAAACCTGAAAGGAAGATCCTACAGGATCATATACGATAGCCGATGAAGTGGTTCACACAAATAAGAGAATTGCGATGAATGTAAATAAACAAAACATAAGGTATACCAGCAGAACCAAAACAGTTATCTATAAGAGTAAGCACAAATAGGGTTTGGATAATGTGCTTCATGAAAAGTGGATTTAAGAAATAAAGTATGGAAAAATAAAGAAATTTAAAAATCAAGGAAAGATAAAGTGTGAATGGGTCTGACATACTGCGACCCATTTGAGGCCATCTCACCTAACATTATAAAACACCTATTACGAACGGCAGCGCGGAACCCAACCAGGTAGTTGGTGCCTATCAACACAGTTCAGTAGCTAATAATTTCATGGAGTGATTTCGTCAGTGCAGAGGGGTGTGACAGCAGTAAGCTATTTCCCTCGGACAACCAGCATCTGCAGCGATGATGCCTTATCACAAGAAAGGAGAAATTAGCACACAGACGCAACTGTCAGTTCAAATCCAGGAGTGAAAGCGATAATAGAAGTATTAGAAGTAATGGAGAAGATTAAAGAGCGAAGATATGATTCAAGAAGTATAATTCAGTGAGATAAATTTAGAAGGAGAAAGATAGAGATTATGAGGAATTCAGAAGGTTAGAATTTGAGGTAACACAAAGAATAAATGCACCTGCGCCATTGCAAACGGCATTGAGCCATATCATTCAAGGTCTCTAACCATCGATTACTATCATCTCGCGGACCCCAACCAGGTAGTCTACATCTACCAACATCACTCAGTCCACTTGTCAGTGACTTCATGGATTTCTGCCATGTTTTGGTCTGGCCGCCCCTAGCTTTCTTCCAACCTACTCCTACACCACAAAACATAGCTCGTCGAGGCAGTCGGTGGTTAGGCATACGTAACACATGTCCCAACCACCTCAACTGATGGAGTTTCACTACTTCATCTATTGATTTGCCATCCCTACCTAGAACTCGTTTCCTAACGACAGCATTGCTTATACGGTTGTCCCACGATATACGAGCAATGCTTCTTAAACATCTATGATCGAATACTAGTAACCTACGAAAGTCCTCTACCCTTAACGGCCATGTTTCGCATCCGTATGGTAGGATGGAGAGAACTACTGCACGGTACACTCGTCCTTTCGTTAGCAGGCGGATATCTCGCCTACGCCATAGGTGACGCAACTTGGCAAAAGCCGATCGAGTCTTCTGTATCAGTCACCAGGCCATCGGCACTGATGAGACTCCCAAGAGAAGTGAAGCGGTCTACACGATCGACTACTTCACTCCCTATCACTAGTTCAGGTACCGATGCAACTCAATCTGGAAGAAACATTTTGCATTACGAGGGTGAGAACCGCATCCCGAACATGCTTGCATAGTTGTTTAGGGTAGTCAGAAGACTACATTTTGTCAGCGTTTTCACCGAATAGAACTATGTCATCGGTATATTTGAAGTCAACAAGCGATTTTCCTGGTAGGTCTACTCCTGAAAATTCAGACGAAAATAATGTTATATCTGGCAGCATGTTATGACAAAATTGAACAAGAATGGGGAAATCGGACAACTCTGACGCACACCACTTGAAGTAAAGAATTCCGTGCTCTGTGCTCATGTGGCATGGCGACATGGACTGAAGTACGTACGTACGTACGAAGTTCTACGTTGCTGTTGATCGATTGATAACTACATAATAACAAACTAAACCAAATAATATTTCTTCAAAGGGAATCTATGAACTATCAGTACTCAGATGTCTCGTCATCATGAAAACTTCAAGCATCTGATGACGCACAATGTTTACCTAGCGAACAGATCGACACCTGAAGCTGTACATGCGCTGTAAGCTAGATGGTCTGGTACAACCGAGGGTTGGGAAGGTTTACTCTCTGTTTAGAGGTATTTTTATACAGCCATGATTTCGCCACCTCTATTTAGTAGTAAGCCTTTTCACAAAAATGAAGGGTTAAGTGGACGTTCATTAGTTAAAGTAGGTCAATGAATCTGCATGATCCACTTGCGGAAGTCGGAAAACGGAAACGTGTATTTAGGCATGGCGAAGAAGTTAGGTCATTATGTGCTACTATCATCAAACAAAATATCAGTTGCTTGATCTTATTGATTCCCATACCTCATGTGGATAGTTTATTAAATGAAAAGGTGGACGACTTTTGATACTATTTCTCATCCCAAACTTCGCATCTTTTTGCAATTATTCTAGCAGTGTCGACTTAAGGCGTATCAGCTCAGACTGCCGCACATCCGTACAATGTTATACATTGATAATGATTGACTAACTGATTGTATGATGACGGTCGAATTGGGTCAGTGTCCACCAGTTTGTAATATCTATTTGCATATATATATATATATATATATATATATATATATATATATATGGCTCTGTAATTATATTTTTTGAGCACAAATAATTTGCTTATGGTTAGCGCTACAGCTGCCTAAAATTTACACCAAAGAACAATTAATTACAACTATAAAGCAATAAGACTTAGTACTAAAACAACAGCCATTATTCGTAAGCAGAAAAAGAAGTGCTTATTTCATATTTTACATTGAAATGACTATGTTCTCGACAAAATTTTTTACTTGATAACGACAAACAGTTGCGGATATTTGGAGCTTAGAAAATCCAATTACATTATTCAGTATTCAATAATAAATTATTGTACTGCTCTGGATTACAGATCCACTTAATATTAGTCATATAAATTATGTCCACTTACGTGATTCCGAGAAGACTGTTCAATATCAAAATTGGAAGTATCGTCTGGACTGGTGACTTCGGGAATATACGGAGGGTTTTCTAAAGTGAATATTTAAAAAGGCCAATTATTAAAAGTTCTATAAAATGTCAAGTATGAATTGTGTAATATTAAAGCTGCGACAGCTATATTTAGTATTCGAATAATCTGCTCAATGTATCAGTAACCGTACTGGTTGTGTGGATCTACCTGTTGATATTACGGATTGTAACTCATCAGTCTTTTTTTAACAAATGTGAATTCTATCTATCACCATTAAGTCACAACCATTTTAGGCAAGTTTGTAACCACACGCAACAAGTGTATGATCTGACAAATGTGAATCAGTTCAAGTGAGGGCATTTGACTTCAGGATAGTGAGAGGAAAGATTAAAAAATAGTAAGAATGACAATGCCCAAAAACGCAAAAAAACTAAAAACAGTAAGACTAGAAGCGGATAAAATAGAGTGCAAAGGAATGATATTACGCTTTAGATCTAGAGAAAGATACATTTTACCCAAGGTACTATATCATGAATCAAGATCATCTTGCAGAAAAAACGTAAGATGTTTATACAATGAGCGAATAGATTCGGCTTTTGAAAAAAATTATTGCACCAAACGATATGGTCCATCGGAATGGACGGGAGCTGGGTATGTATAACATTTATTCCAACCAACGATTATACAACACAGCACACTGCCTAGCATCAAAGATCACTATGTACTATTACAAAAGAGGAATGTTTTGAAGATAAACATGATTAAATACTAACAATTCGTGCATATCTCTAACAAAATTTACGAAACATATGGTCCAATTACATTGTGCTTAATAGATAAAATCCACTAATATTTCAAAATATGCATGAAACAAGCAGAAAATATATATTCACTAGTCCTAAAATCAACCCGGTAAACGTGCTTTCTTAACAAGCAATATAAAGGCAACTGATAAGGAAGTCAGAATACAAACTGTACGACTAGTACCAAGAAATCCATGCAACATCACAATGTGGGATCTGAAACGTTAGATTCATGAAAATCCCAGGAAATAAACATTCATACACCTAGATTCCTTCCAATCTATTCCAAAACCACAAAACATTACCCATCGAGGCAGTCGGCAATCAGGCAGAAGTAACGCCTCAACTAATGTAGTTTCAATACTTCACAAACTGACCTGAGATCCTCACCTAGTACTCGTTTCCTAACGACAGCATTGCTTATACGGTTGTCCCACGATACATGAGCAATGCCTCGAAAACAAGTATAATCGAATACTAATAACCTACGAATATCCTCTACTCTTACCGATCGTGTTTCCGAGCCATTTAGTATGACGGAGCGAACTAATACGCAGTATACTCGTCCTTCGGTTACCAGACGGATATCTCGTCTACGCCATAGGTGAGGCAAGTTGGCAGAAGCCAAGCGAGCCTTCTATATCCATGCTGAGATTTCGTCAGTCACCATGCCACAAGCACTGATGAGACTCCCGAGGTACGTGAAGTGGTCAACACCCTCAACTACTTCACTGCCTATCACTAGCTCAGGTGCCGATGCAACCCGATCCTGAAGCAAGCAAGTCTCCTGGTAGTTCTGCTCCTGAAAATTCAGACTAAGATAATGTCATATCTAGGAGCATGTCTATGACAAAATTAAATAAGAACGGAAAGGTGGACATACGTGACGGACATCACTTGAAGTAATCAGTTGCGGTGACAACTAGCCGTAAGCTCTGACTCCACCTAAAGTATTCGAGTAGAGGGCCTTCATAAGGTTAATGTACTTCTTTGGTACACCTTTTAATGACAGACGCTGCCACTGAACCTCATGATCTACAGAGTTAAATGCCGCCTCAACATCCAGGAAGACAACTATTGTCGAACGCTTAAATGTGTGTCTGCGTTCCAGAACCTGTCGTAGTGTAAAAATGTGGTCTATACAGCTACGTCCAGGTCGAAAACCAGCCTGGTTTTCTCTAGTCTGCTCTTCACGAGTTCTAGTTAGACGTCTAAGTATAATCGAGACTAATAATTTAGAAACTATGTTAGTTAAACTGATTCCCCTGTGATTGTCACAAGAGGACTTTTGTCCTTTCTTATAGACTGGGACAATCAGTGATTGAGACCAGTCAGATGGGATTACGCACAGTTCCCAGATTCTACCTAAGACCTCAGTCAAACTGTTAAAACTAAACCACCATCCTTAAAAATCTCAGGGATCAATCTATCAGGTCCTGCTGCTCTCCCACGCTTCAGATTTCCTAAAGCCTTTTCAACTTCATGAAGACCAGGAGGGCTCACGTCGACTTTCCATTCAGGATGACTGGGGATAGTGGGCAACGGATGTGTGGCTGAAGGCCAGTTGAACTGATTCTTAAAGTGCTCTGCCCATCGATCCAGTTTCCTGGGTTGAGAATGAAAGATACAACCGTCCTGATCTGAGATAGTTTCTCTAACAGATGAGTTCCTAGTACGAGTTTCCTTAATAAGGTGGGACAGTTGTCGACTGTTATATGTAATCAACTTGACAAATAATTTAGGTAAACAAGTGGTACACATAACTTACGTTCATGAATGTGTTCCCAATCTATGCCTTTAAAAAAAGCATGGTTTTTTATGTCATCTATTCCATTTCGACCAAATCTTCGTTTCCGGTCACAAATTAAATGCCGCATTAGGTCACATGCTGATTCGGAAATTTTTATACAATCAGTTGGAATAGTGAAATGTTTCTAAAAATAGATAATGATTTCTATAATTTTAAAATACCTACATATATGATACAGCTACAAAACAGTTTCCATGCATATGTCATAAAAACTTCTTAACTACTTAGCATTAGTCTGATTCAGATCATCTGCAGTTAGGGAGAGAATCATGTCTCAAACATGCTAGCATTGCTTAAAATGATCAAAAGACTAAGTTTAGTCAGTGTTTTCATGAAATAGAACTACACCAGTCGCTGCACAATACTAGCAACGAGCTGAAGTTACTTAGACGAATCCGAGGGTAGAAGTAGCGGGGGTGAGTAAATATGGGGGATTTTTAAATTTAGGATTGAAAAGAAGACGAAGACAATGTCATTGCGACTGATTTTGAGGTCTGTCACCACGCATCTCTAACCACTGATCGTGGTTTTCACACAGACTCCAGTCTGTACTTGACAAAACAATTCCGTCCACCGTCACCGATTTTGTGGACAGACTACGTTTTAGTCTGGCTAACGTAATACATAGGCCAACCACCTCAGTCGACGAAGATTCACTACCACATCAACCGAATTATCACCCCAACATAGCACTGTCTTTAACTTCTGCATAGCTCACTAGACGATCACAAGGTAGACGAAGAATTCTTTTAAGATACCTATAGTCAAAAACTCCGATACTTTCCTGCACTGTCTATTTTGTGACCCTAATTTACAGACGGTGAACAAAACTTTCTGTCCTTATCTTTCCTCCGATCAAATAGTAAGTTCAGTTTGTACAGAGGCTTTCGTGATCGATACCAGCTGAGAAACTGATTTTCATAGATGTTCATTTACATGTCGACCAAATAATTAATATTCGCAAAATCGTAACTACACAGTAATTAGTGAACAAAAAGAAGTGAATGAGTCAATACACGTGGGAATGCATGTCAGATTTTAGCCAGACATCAACCTACAAGGGCGGTAAAACTTATAAGTGAAATGGTTAGTGCTTTCAAATACCGTAATCTTTATCATTAGTTCAAGAGTTGACGCAGATTAGTCATGAAGCAACATCTTGGATATAGAGGGAGAAATAACCCGTACATGCTAATATTGTTACTTGGGGTGATCAGAACACTGTACTTTATCAGCGTATTCACCTAGCATAACTTAATCATCAGTGTATTCCAAGTTACCACGCGATCCGGTAAAAGACCGATTCCTCGTACATCAAGAGGTTGTTATCCCTGGAAGAATGTCTAAGATCAAGTTAAATAAGAATAGTGAGAGTAGACATTTAGCAATCAGATTTGGTCAGTCAGTCAGATACAATGTAGAATTTCGTACGTAAGTACATCAGTTCATGTTGCCATACCACATTAGCACAGAGACGCAATTGTCAATTCAAATTTCATGGTGGTATAGATAGTAGAAGAATTACTGCTAATGGAGAAGATTAAGACTTGAAGATAATATTCAGGAAGTATAATTCAGTGAGATAAGTTTAGAAAGACAAAGGTACAGGTGCTGACGATTAGGGTATTCTTTGATTGATAAGCTTTATTTGAGGCATACATCACAGATACTGTTGACCAGTACTAATTATCTACCATCCACTTGTTCATAAATTAGTTTCTTCGAAAGTTACTATTTCAGTCTATGACGTGCTTAGTCTTAACATCAGTTAGTAATTTCTCAAAATCGTACTTACCTCAAAATTCATAATGTGACCATAAGTTTCAATCAGATTTTCACTGTAGAAAGGAGTTTCTCCAAAGAGCATTTCATACATAACAACTCCGAGCGACCAGTAATCACATTCAACACCATAAGTCCCCTGACCATCTTCGGAAGCTCGCAAAATTTCGGGTGATATATAGTCTGGCGTTCCGACGGCTGTATTGTTCTTCACTAACCCATTTTCCCCAAGTTTTAAACAGGAACCAAAATCAGCAAGGACAATATGACCTGAACTGGAGCAAGGAAAAAGTGAAACTTATTTACAACTGGTTTACACGTAGCTAATAGATCAACTACTGATGCTATTTTTAATGTTACTAAACCTTAGTACAACTAAGCTCCCACAACACTAAATGCTTTTTGAGAAAAACACCGAAACAACGTGCATTATCTGGGAATAGGGTATAGTTAGATCATTTTACAACTTTATCCTGTGAGTAAAGATTTACTAAACGTAAAGGTTAAGAATAAAAAATCTTAAAGATACTCAGCTATTTTGCAACGAGCTTTTGTTGGTCGGCTGTGAACCAGTTATGCCAACTAATCCTGAATCTTTCGTTGGTTAATTCAGTGTATCTAAACTGTTGCTAAGTGATTTAATGCTTCAGCTACACTTCAATATGGTGTCGAAGCCGCATACACGTTACGTCATGTATAAATCGGAACATCTTGTGAGCAATACATTTTCAGACAAAGTAAGGAATTTCCTAATCAGGGCATACATAATCTGGTTTTAAGCCCATAAAACTAAATGACAAGGATTGAATGCTTATTTTTCAGAGGTGGTGGTCCAAATCTCCAATGAGTAAAAAGTAAACCTGTAGACTTGCTCAAAGTACTTTCTGATCATGTTAATGAGATAAAATCAATCTATTCAAACCGAGAGCAGTGAAGTACAAATGAGATGCTTAGAACCAGCGGTCCTATACGAAACCATAGATGTACTACAACACAAGGAATTTTAAAAATCAGATCCTTCAAACATCTGACGCATAGAAAATTTAACATAAACTGTCTCGTAGATAAAAGCATAAGACCACAGCTAAGTAAGTGAACCCCTTTATTTCAGCAACGACTAGTAAATTCGGTAGAAAACAAACTTTGAGGTGTCATTCAAAATAAAACTTACCTTTGTAACAACACGTTATCTGGCTTTATATCTCTGTGAACGTAACCTAGCTGGTGCAAAGAGTCAATAGCCAAAACCATTTCGGAAACGTAAAACTGTACAATGTTTTCAGGTATCCTGTCGTCAAACTTGCTTAACATAGTAAGCATATCCCCACCATTGTAAAAATCCATTAGAAAATACTTATTGTTTGTTACAAAATAAAAAAGAAGGTTACCAAGAACTTTTCATCCTGAAATGTGTGATGTAATTTGGCTAGCCACTGGGATTTACTGACCATTGCCTTCACCATAACATCACGCTCCTCTTGAAAGCATGCTCTCTAAAAGTATCCTAAGAAGCTCGCAGTAACTTACATCTGAACGTTTAAGCATGTCATATTTATGGAGGGATTTCAGAGCATATATCTTTCCATCATTTTTCCATTTAACAACTGATACATCTCCAAAAGCCCCAGATCCTATTAGCCTTATAGTCTCGAATTCCGACTTTGATATCCAACAACTCTCAATCTTTTCGACATATTTTTTAACTAGAAAGCAGTAAAATATTGAAAGCTTTTACCAGCATTATAGAACTTTATACAGTTCCTCTCATTTTTGTGTTGAGGGAGTTTGCATTCGTAAGACAGACAAACGATTGTGTCTAACAGGTATTCTACGCTAACAGAGTTGTCGTCCAGTAGGGGTGAACTTTTAGTATACAGAGAGACAAGTTCATTGATCCTATCGTGAAGTGTCTTCATTTATCTTCCCAGGATGAATAAAGAACCTGAAAATCCCACCATACCTTCCCAAAAACAATACAGCCAATTAGAATGTTAGAGTTTAAGCAACACATAAACGGCGGTATCCTCAAAAGTAACACACCACAATATCTTCATCTAACTTCCTTCGTTCTGAAAATTTATATGCATAGAAATTTGACTTGCATTACGAGTTATTAAATCTCTGTTCCCAAAAATCGACTATTATTTTCAAACCAGACAGCGCGTTATTCAAAAGTGTTTCGTGTTTTTTCCCACTATGACAGTTTCCTAGTTTCGATTTTGTAATGACATTTGAAAGTCCCTTTAACACCTAACTAATATGATTTTAAATATACAGTAACGTGAAAAAAGTAATTTTGTGTGTCCAAGGTCTACTTTTTTTTGAAAACAATGTTTTTCAGAATCATTTACTTTTGTTTCTACCACTTTTTCAGTGTTAAAGTAAATATTAATCTCTCTCGCTTACTCACTGAACGATTAAAGTGACACAAATTTCCGACGTTGTGGTAGACTAGTGTTCTGGGTTGGAACACAATGTGACAACTGAGACATTTATCAGAACATATGCTCACTCCGTTTGCTTGCAAACGTTATCACCAAAGCACCCTTCAAAACAAAGGTGACCAATGCTATCCACCTACCAACAATAACAATGAGGAGGATGAAGATCAATTATATGAGAAGTTGCAGTAAATCACTGAGAAATGCTCAACAAAGGAATTCCATAATTTGATGAGAGAACTGAACGCTAGGGTTGGAATGGATAAAACTAGATGTGCAGACATCATGAGACGACATAAAATGGGAAAAAAGAACACGAACAATGCAAGGTTCGCAAACATACATGCCATAAAAACAATATCACAAGGACCATGGAGGACGTGAGGACCTAGAGAGGAGCTGATTTAGACTCAGGCCATCACTTGCTGGTCGGCAAAATGAAAGTGAAATTCAAGAAGCACTGGACAAATGGGAAGAAAATATCAAAAACGGTAATCACGGTATTTCTTCGGTATACTTGAAATTCAAGATAGCCCCCGACAATAGGTTTCAGGCCTTGCACAATCTACTCAATGGAGAGGAAGCAACCAAGGAGAGCGACTAGAAAAGGATTAAGGAGGCAATCACTTCAACATGTCGTAGGGTTTTCGGACACATGAAGCACTACCTCGAGAACTGGGTCTCTATTGGTACTCTTGATGAAATTCAGGAAGAGAGGAACAAGGAGGCATCAAACAACATCAGCAGAACAAGAGAAGAGAGAGTCAGGGCACAGGCTGGATCAACAAAAACAGACAAGCTAGTGTAGTGGAACACTTTGGTGAAGAAAACACGACTGGTTAAAAATAAACATTTACTACTGTACTCGTTTCGTTCAATTGTACCAGAAACAATTTCTTGCGCGCGACGTTCTTTTCGCGTTGCTGCTCCCTATGTAATGCCTACTTCCTCCTTCAAATAAATATTGAAACATGGATTTATTTCCGTAATATGTGTCGCGATATTATGGAATATTTAGTGGTGATCACAGTCAATCTCGACTCGGTTACCACTAAACTAGCATCAGGGCTAACAGACATAAATATGTGGAAGATGTGGAAGTGATGGCGAAAGGGGCTGCAAGAGGAAGAAACATGCTGCAGTTGTACGACGCAACAAATAAGCTCTCTGGAAATTGTCGGAAGCAAGAACGACTAATGAAAAACAAGAAAGGCAAAAAAGTCACCGATATTAAAGAACAACAGATTAGTTAGTTACGGCACATTCTACAGCTCCATGATATATCAGCTTCACTGAAAGCAGACGTAGCAGTAACTTCAGCGATACTCTACATTCATTTCAGCAGGATTCGGAAGTAGGAAAAAGTACTAATGGACTGGAGAAAAGTATAGCTTATCAAAATACCAAAGCAAGTGTGAGAACTACACATGCATCACTCTTCTCTCATTACTAGTCTGGTAAGTTCGTCAGTTAGTATGCATGAGGCTATTACGAGTTTACCTTAGTCGATAAACGCGAACGAGACAATAAACCAGCGTCCAGGTAGGCTACCTTGAAGCCGAGGTTGAAGCAAAAAGGCTTTGTAAGCGTAAAAAGTATATTCTAAAAACACCCAGCAATCACAGTACAATCAAGCATACAACTCTAGTTTATTTATACAACATAGAAACGTCCTAGAGACAGTTAAGAAAATAGCACACTAAAATACGCAGCAGCCAATCACAGCCATGGATAATCCTGGTGGGAAATGAAATCTCAAGGTCAACTGATCAGCCCATGCTGGCAAACATGAAAACCAAAATAAGGCATTATCAAGCGAATTTCGGGGATCTAACATCCCCAACACTCCTCCCCTTTTTAATAGCGTGTTCTCCTGGGGTCGACTTGAATCTTGACTATTGTTCGCCGCTGTTTGAGAGGATACCTTCGGGAACGAAGAACAGCTTGCTGCTGAGTTTCTTCTCGTGGCGGGTCTCTCGGTAGATTGAAGGTATCAAGCAAGATGTCAAGGGGAAGGCTTTCTGCTCTTGATGGGCGATCTGGGGCTAGCCGTCTGCGTATCTGATTCTGATGACCTGATCATTTATCACCTCCTACCTCTACTTCGTACATAACTGAACCAACTCTTCTGACCACTCTCGCTTCTGCCCAAGGACCATGGTTCATTCTGTAGTCGCGGGCAAACACAGGGCATCCCACTTCGTAAGCGGATTGTCTTTGCTGCTTTGTCTCTACTGATGAGGGTGCATTAGTCGGATGCATCATGCTGTGGATCGTTTTCAATCTTCTTCCCATCAGGATTTCTGCTGGGGGCTTTTGCTACGGTAGCCATTCATTTGGTGTTGTCCGATAGACGTACAAGGAATTTTGTAACGCTTCGGCCTGCGTCCCCTCCCATTTTGACTTAAGCAGTGCTCTTTTAAACGTATCCACAAACCTTTCCGCCTGCCCATTCGATTGCGGGTGGTATGGTGGCGAGCGTAAGTGTTTAATGGCTAGCCGTTGACAGAAATTCTGGAATTGGGAAGGGGTGAATTGAGAGCCATTGTCGGATACGATCACATCTGGTATGCCATTTCATGAGAAAATTTCAGTTAGGAGCTGTATAGTATTAGTTGTAGTGGGCGGCATAACGGGGCTGATTTCCGGCCATTTAGAAAGGGCGTCGACGACAATTAAATACATAATTTCATTTATTGGGCCAGCGAAGTCGACATGTATCCTGGACCAAGGATGCTCAGGTTTGGGCCATGAAACCGGCGGAATTTCGGCATTCATCTTTGCCGCCTGCCGACACCGCATGCATTTTTCAACCAGCGCGGTGACATGTTGATCCATGTGGGGCCAGTATGCATAACTCCAGGCAATGGACTTCATTCGTTCAATCCCAGGATGACCAAGATGGAACTGTCTCAGCACTTTTGCACGAAGGGATTCTGGCACGACTACTCTTTCAATAAACATCAGACAATCGTTCACGATGCATAGTGACTCCCGCCGCTGATACAGTTGTTTCATGTCACCTTCAAACTTTTTCGACGGCCAACCGTTAGTGACATATTTTATCGTCATGTTGATGATGGGGTCGTTTTTTGTATGTCTGTTGCAGACACCGGTAATGCGCGAACTGTGGTTGTCAGATAACATTCTGCGTGGTCTTCTACTGATAGAGATGCGATCACCATGTTTTCCTCAGCCGCCATTTTATCATTAATGAGTCGTGACAAAGCGTCTGCTTGACCGAATTGTAGAAGGAGTCGATATTGGATTTCGAAATCATACCCAAAAAGTACCAAGGCCCATCGCTGAAGACGATTTGCAGAATGGGCTGGAATGTCAGACTTTGAACCAAATATTGCTAACAGAGGCTTGTGATCTGTGAGGAGCGTGAATCTCCGACCGTACAGAAACTTATGGAAACGGCGAACAGAAAACACAAGAGCCAGAGCTTCTTTCTCTATCTGGCTATACTTCTTCACACTCTTTAGTCCAGTTCCATGTGCTATGCTTCTTCAGTAGACAATTCAATGGAGCGCGAATATCATGCATCGAGGGAACAAAAGCTGAATAATAGCTGATTAAACCGATAAAAGATCGTAATTCGGAAACATTAGTGGGAGTGGGCATCATTTTGATAGCTCGGATGTTCTCAGGATCCGGTCTGTGGCCGTCGGCATCAAAGATGAATCCCAAATATTTTACCGACTGCAATAGAAACTGGCATTTTTCTGGGCGTAACCGGAAACCATTGTCACTGATGCGTTGTAGTACCAATGTCGTGCGTTCCCGTAGCTGTTCTAACGTCTTCGCAACAATCAAGATATCATCGAGATAAGCTGCAACCCCTGAGATATCTGACAGGATAGTATCCATTAGTTGTTGGAAGATAGATGGGGCAGTCTTAACTCCAAAAGGTAGACGGTTATACTGGAACAAACCACGATGAGTGTTGATAGTAAGCAGCTCTTTAGATGCTTCATCGACTTCCACTTGCAAATAAGCATCAGCTAAGTCAAGCTTTGCGAAGAACTTTCCTCCATTCAGCATAGTGAATAGATCTGCTGGGACTGGCAGAGGATAATGATGCTGTTCTAGAGCTGCGTTGAGACCTGTAGAAAAGTCAGCACATATACGTATCGTGCCGTTGGCCTTCTTGATAACGACTATAGGTGCTGCCCAACTAGAGTAGGAAACGGGAGTAATAACTCCTTGCCGTTGAAGGCGATCCAGCTCTTCATCCACTGTTGCTAATGTTGCATAACGTACATGTCTCTTTGGACGAAAAGCTGGCTTAGCCCCATGTTTTAACCGAAGTGTTGCTTTCATAGCAGTGCACCGACCTAATTCAGGTTGGAAGATGGTTGAAAACTCTGTCATCAGCTTCTTCGTATATGCTTCGGGGTCATGTGGTTGTGATACCATGTTGCATATGGTATTTAACGGGACATCAGCCAATTTAAGCTGGTCGAACCAATCTAAACCAAGTAAATTTAGATCAGCTGGCGTTATATAGCATACCCCAGTAAACGAAGAATCTCGGAAAGCAACTTTACATTCCAGTTGTCCTAACAGATGAAGATAATTACCACATGCTGTACGAGGCTTCTGTGTTGTGTGCTGCAGGCTTGGGCTACCCAATTTGGTCCAATTTTTGCGTGAGAGGATAGTGACATCAGATGCAGTATCTATTTGCATTCTACACAAATAACCGTTAATATTAAGAGTAATAAATTTCCTCTCACCAGGTGATGAGCTCTGGCAGGAAGATATTAGGCTCAATGCATTGGTACTGGATCTAGGAAAAGGCTTCTTAGCACTTGATTGGTTTGGCAAAAGCCATCTTTATGACCGATGACTCGACACTTCCTGCATCTATGCTGCCTAAATGGGCAGTTCCGTACATAGTGCCATGAGCCGCAGTGCCAGCAAGTAGAAGGGGTATTCATTTTTGGTTTCTGGGCAGAATTGGAGCGGGATGAACTGGTTGTAGCATGGGCAGACTTATTATGATTAGGTGGCTGCTGTACCAAATGAATTTCAGATCGGTATGAACTACCACTCTGAACTATAGTTGAGTCTCGCTGTAGGTTAGTGAGACGTTGGTACTCATGAGCCATTTCGCGTAAGCTTCGGATCTTGCTCCAAACGACTTAGTAGCCTTGTTCTAATATCACTGAACTTACTCGACTGGAGGCTGCAGATGAGTGTAAGGGCTTTGAACTGGTCTTCCGACAAAGACTTCAACCGAAAGCGTTGGCATTCACGGTTGACGATGCCCACATGCGTAAGGAAGTCATCATCTTCGTTCATAATTAGCTTCAAACATCGATATCGAGTATTAAACAGTGACGAGTTATCTCCAAAATGTTGGCTTAAAGTCTGAACAGTCTCAGAAAATGAACAATCTCGTGGGTTCAAAGGCAGAATCAAACTGCAGTACTTATCCAGCTCACTTGCGCCCAACTTTCGAAGTAGCAGTCGAACCTTCAAAGCATCATCTTGGTTGGCGAAATCAAATTTAAATAAATCTTCATAACGCCGGAACCACATGTCAAAAGTGACATTAGCATCAGGATCATAATGAAATTCAGCTATGCTATTTGCGATGCCGTCGACCGATGGAGCTGTGGTTGCATAAGATGAGCTGGGCTATGTGGAAGGGGAAATCTTCATGTCTGTCAACATCTGCATCAGTTTCAGCTGCTACTCAAGTAATAATTCAAGTTTGGCAGGATCCATATTTCCAAAAGCACCGTCGCCACTGATAAGTTTCTCACTTAGTATGCATGAGGCTATTACGAGTTTACCTTAGTCGATAAACGCGAACGAGACAATAAACCAGCGTCCAGGTAGGCTACCTTGAAGCCGAGGTTGAAGCAAAAAGGCTTTGTAAGCGTAAAAAGTATATTCTAAAAACACCCAGCAATCACAGTACAATCAAGCATACAACTCTAGTTTATTTATACAACATAGAAACGTCCTAGAGACAGTTAAGAAAATAGCACACTAAAATACGCAGCAGCCAATCACAGCCATGGATAATCCTGGTGGGAAATGAAATCTCAAGGTCAACTGATCAGCCCATGCTGGCAAACATGAAATCCAAAATAAGGCATTTATGAAGTGAGTTATAGGGGTCTAACATCCCAAACATAAGCAACTCTTGAACGGAGTACTGTTAAACAGATTGAAGAACTTCGTAGATGCCAAACTTTGAGATCAACAGGCTGGATTTCGTAGGGCTGGATATTGTACCGACCAAACTGCAGCATCACAACTCATTCTGGAACAATCAATTAAATGGGACTCACCAACCTACAACAAATTCACTGACTGCGAGAAAGCATTTGATAGTGTGGACAGGACAAAAAATATTGATGCCTCTTCGACACTACGGCGTGCCTTAGAAGACAGTCCACATCAAACGAGTTCTTACGATTGACTGAACTGTGAAATCGGGCACGGAGGACAGCTGACAGACTAGTTCGGGGTGATGACCGGTGTCATGCAGGGTTGCTTTATCTCACCCTTTCTCTTCCTCCTGGTGATCGACTGGATTATTAAGACGTTCGGTATCTCATAATCTGCCAGGATGCGGCTAAACGATTCGGACTTCACAGACGATCTGGCTCTTCTATCTCACACGGAACAACAAATGCAAAAGAAGACGACCAGTTTAGCAGCCGCAGGTCTCAACATACATATAGAGAAAAGCAATATTCTCTACAACTGCGCAACATTTGGAACTTCAAACAACTATCAACCAACACCAAAATCAGATTTTTCAATATAACTGTCAATACACTTCTACTTTATGGGGCAGAAACTTGGAAAATTACCAAAACCATCATCCACAATATTCAGGTATTTATTAACAGTTGGCTGTCCACGCAAAATACTTCGGATCTCATGCTTAGACACCATCAGCAACAACCTATTGAGGGAGATAAAAAACAAATTCCATCGGAGAAAGAAACCAGGAATAAACGGTGACAGTGGATAAGACGCACATTGAGGTAAATACTTAGTTGCGTCGCAAGACAAGCCCTCACTTGGACCCCTCAAAGTCAAAGGAAAAGAGGAAGCCCAATGAACACATCACGCACAGAAACGGAGAAAGATATAAGAAGAATGAACAACAATTAGACTGAAGTGGAAAGGGAAGCTCAGGTCAGAGCTGGTTGGAGAACACTGGTCGTCGGCCTATGCTCCATTTGGGGTAAAAGAAATAAATAAGTAAATAAATCAACTAAAGACGTAAATTTTACTTTCAGTTTACATGTTTCTGATCCGCGAAGGAGAACAAATTATTTGAAATCCGGAATTTAAAAGACGTCTCAGACGGTGCAGCCTATACTACACATTTAAAGGTTTTTCTGGCACCTAATGGCGTGCAAAACTCGAAAAGGTATGGTTAATAAATGAGTGTTCGAAGCCTGTAAATCAAAAATTGTATTTCAGCAATATGAGATCATATATCTATACCAAATTGATTCGAGCTATTGTATTCCGTAAGCTGCCAAAGGTCAAAAACCATCCGATGGATCTCAGCGTAAATTTGAGTCTAGTCAAACGCAACTTATTAGCCAACGGCTCGGCAACAAGTGACAGTCAATGTAAAGTAATCAAGTGAACATAAACTTAAGTAGAATACGAACGAATGAGAGGCCTAAACGCGGTTAAAAACAAAAAGCACAGACACGAAAAATATTCTAAAAGCTATGTTTTATAGACATATGCTTACTTTGATTCATAACTGCTGTTTCTTTACCATCACAGTTTCACAGCAATTCGTTTATATACGTTGCAGTTCAATAAGTCTATAGTAGCGGGCGAACGCTCAAGCCGTCAAGATTGTATTATCGTAAGTTCGTGTCTGTCCTCAGAGTTTAGCGTACTATATGCTTAGTTGAAAAGTTTTTGTTAGTTTATATGAATTGATTTTTTGATACTTTGGCTGAAAAATGGATGAAATTTTCTTGTTAGTTAATATTTGGTTAATAATCTGTAATAATATAGCCTACAAACTATGCAGTAGTTGCATTTATTCATTTTATTTCTCTAAGTAATGGAAATAAACGAATACGGAAGTTTACACATCATCCAACAATAAATTGTTCACTCATTCCAAGGTTGTAGACTCCTAGGTTGCATTTAGTAACATTTATTGATCTGACCCACAAATGACGAGACCGTTACCTTTAATTTTTTTAGATTGGATCCTCTTATATGATCTTATCCGCTTTTTACGTTCTTTCTATCTCCTGATGCAAAGCGTGACGGGTACACATTTGTATCATACTCCGCGGATAATTGAGTGTTAATATGTTTGATATTTCTACAAAGTCGCGTGAACTGTTTTGTGAGTAGCCTAAGTAAGTTTCCTCAAGCAACTCTAGATAGTGATGCGTTTGTGAGTTGTGCTAACCTATTAGTTACAAAAGCTCTTACTCTGTAATCAAAAATTTGTCAATCTGACTTATACCATATTTGGCCTTGTTGTTATGTCTTTTAGAAAAATCGATTTAACCCAACGCGTACTACTGCATTCAACTATGTGTGTGCGGTTAATGGTCTTTTGACACTTAGAAATCAAAGTTATCAGTGTTTAATCATTATGTTGAAACAATCATTGGTACGACGAAACCTAGATATTTATTCACTACACAAAATAATGTATTTGTATATGGGTTGGACTGCATACTAAGTCGGTCATTTACAAAGAAAAACGTCGTTCAACCAGTTCAAGTTACCATACCACAGTACAGAAAGATGGAACTGTTAATTCAAATAACAGTAGTCGAAGTATTAGCAGTAATCGGAGAGATTAGGGTCAGAAGATATTATTCAAGAAGTATAATCTTGTGAAATAAATTTAAAAAGAGAAAGATAAAGGTGATCTAGAATCCAGAAGACTAGGATTTGAGATAACACAAAGAATAAATGCACCATTGCAACTGGCATTGAGCCATATCATTCAACGTCTCTAACCATCGGTTACCACCATCTTGTGGACCCCAACCAGGTAGTCTTCACTAACCAACATGACTCGGTCCGTTTGTCAGTGATTTCATGGATTTGTGCCATGTTTCGGTTTGGCCGCCCGTAGCTTTCTTCCAACCTATTCCTACACCACGAAACCTAGATCAACGGGGCAGTGCGTAAGTACATCAGCTCGAGTTTTTATGCTACGGTAGCACTTAAAGACATGGCTGAAAATTGTTCGCAATGGCTCAGGTGCATCCATTCTTTGTCTTCTCCCAATTTCTAATCTCTTGAATCCGTAATCACCTTTAGCCGGACCATAGCTGCTACACGTTCGACTATTTCATTCCTTATCACTAGTTCAGGTGCCGATGCAACCCAGTCTTGAAGCAACATTTTGCATTTCGAGGGGCGAAACCGCATCCCAAACATGCTTGCATTGTTGCTTAAGATAGAAGACTGCATTTTGACAGCCTCTTCACCAAATAGAACTATGTCATCAGCATGTTCTAAGTCAACAAGCAAGCCTTCTGGTAGAAGGTCTACTATTGAAAATTCAGACTAAGATAATGTCATATTTAGGAGCATGTCTATGACAAAAACAAGAATGGGGAAATCGGACAGCCCTGACGGATACCGTTTTGAAGTAGAGAATTCCGATGACAGTTCTGCATAAGCTCTAACTCGACCAGTGGTGTTCGAGCAGAGAGCCTGTATAAGGTTAATATACTTCTTTGGTACACATTTCAATGACAGACACTGCCACTGAACCTCACGATTCACTGAGTCGAATGCCACCTGAAGGTCCAAGAAGACAATTCTTGTTGGAAGTCTAAATGTGTATCTGTGTCCTGAAACTTGTCGTAGTGTGAAGATGTGGTCTATACAGCCATGTCCAGGTCGAAAACCAGCCTGGTTTTCTCTAGTCTGCTCTTCACGAGCTCTAGTTAGGCGTCTAAGTAAAGTCGAGGCTAAGAATTTAGAAACTATGTTAGTTAAACTGATTCCCCTGTGATTGTCACAAGAGGACTTTTGTCCTTTCTTATAGACTGGGACAATCAGTGATTGAGACCAGTCAGATGGGATTACGCACAGTTCCCAGATTCTACCTAAGATCTCAGTCAATCTAACTGTTGAAACTGGACCACCATCCTTAAAAATCCCAGGGATAAGCCTATCAGAACCTGCTGCTCTACCTCGCCTTATATTTCCTATAGCTTTCTCAACTTCATAAAGGTTCTGAAGGCTGACGTCGACTTGCCACTTAGGATGACTGAAGATCGTGAGTAACCGAAGTGTGGCTGAGGGCCAGTTGAATTGATTCTTAAAGTGCTCTGCCCATCGATCCAATCTCCCGGATTGAGAATGAATGATGCAGCCATCCTTTCCTCAGGTAGTTTCGCTAACAGATAGATTTCTAACACCGGTTTCCTTTATTAGGCTTAACCACTGTCTACTGTTGCCTATCGCCGCTGCCTTTTCTATCGCTTTTGCTTTCGCCACCCACCACTGTTCGCAGTCGTTTCGTAGGCTTTTTATCAGCTTGCGCTTATGCTGACTTCGCTGTTCATCATGTTCACGGCCAGGTAGGATGAGTTTTCGAGCATCTATCAGTTCGGTGGATGCTACTGAGATCCACTGCTTCTTCCTAGTCTTATGGTTTACCCTATCAGATATCACTGCTGTTTCCACAGCTTTAGGATATCATCCCGAGCTACTTCCGGATGGGAATGACTTACATGGTCGCCTAACTATTTTACTATTTGCTCCTGAAATATATTCATACCTCTGCTATCATTAGGTAGAACCCCGAGAGGTTTCTTTGCGGTGCCTTTTCTACGTCCGGTAAGTCGCAAACAGATACGCGCTCGCTCTAGAGTATGATCTGAATCCAGAAATGTGCCTCAGAACGAGCGACAGTCCTCTATCGAACCTCTCCATCGGTGGCTGATGGCAATGTGATCTAATTAGATCCAGCGTTGTGACGAATTGGGGGGTCGCCATATCAAGAGATGCTTTTCCTTATGCCTAAAGTTAGTGTTTGCTAGAAATAGGCGGTTATCTGAACACAGTATCAACAGACGGTCGCCATTATCTGTTCTCTGGGCCGCGACACCATAACATCTACCCAGGTGTCTTTCATTCCCACTTAGTATACCTTACTTACTTACTTACTTTCGCCTGTTACCCCAAATGGAGCATAGGCCGCCCACCAGTTTTCTCCAACCAACTCTGTCCTGGGCTTCTTCCTCCAGTTCTGTCCAATGTTTGTTCATTCCTCTCATATCTTTCTCTATTTCACGGCGTAATGTATTCTTTGGCCTTCCTCTTTTCCTTTTGCCTTGAGGGTTCCATGTGAGGGCTTGTCTCGTGACGCAGTTAGGTGCTTTTCGTAGAGTGTGTCCTATCCACTTCCACCGCTTCTTCCTGATTTCCTCTTCCACTGGAATCTGACTTGTTCTCTCCCACAGTTCGTTGTTGCTGATGGTGTCTGGCCATCGAATACGAAGTATTTTACGTAGACAGCTGTTAATAAACACTTGTATCCTCTGGATGATGGCTTTGGTAGTTCTCCATGTTTCCGCTCCATACATTAGAACTGTCTTGACATTTGTATTGAAAATCCTTATTTTGGTGTTGATTGATATCTGTTTGGAGTTCCAGATATTTTTCAACTGTAGAAATGCAGCCCTTGCTTTGCCAATCCGTGCCCTCACATCTGCATCCGATCCACCTTGATTGTCGATGATGCTGCCCAGATATGTAAAGGTGTTAATGTCCTCCAAGGCATCTCCATCAAGAGTGATTCGGTCTGTGCATGTTGTGTTGCATCGGAGAATTTTGCTCTTTCCTTTATGTATGTTGAGACCTACTGCTGCAGAGGCTGCTGCTACACTCGTCGTCTTCTCTTGCATTTGTTGTTGAGTGTGCGATAGAAGAGCCAGATCATCTGCAAAGTCCAGATCGTCCAGCTGCGTCCTAACTGTCCAGTTGATACCGTGCTTCCCTCCAGCTGTTGACGTTTTCATAATCCAGTCGATCACCAGGAGAAAGAGAAAGGGTGAAAGTAAGCAACCTTGCCTGACACCGGTCTTTACCTCGAAAGAGTCGGTTAGCTGTCCTCCGTGCACGATTTTGCAGTTGAATCCATCATAAGAGTTCCGTATGATGTTGACTATTTTCTCAGGCACCCCGTAGTGTCGAAGAAGAGTCCACAGTGTTTTCCTGTCCACGCTATCGAATGCTTTCTCGTAGTCGATGAAGTTGATGTAGAGTGGTGAGTTCCATTCAATTGATTGTTCCACAATGATCCGTAATGTAGCAATTTGGTCAGTACACGATCGATCCTTCCGAAATCCGGCCTGTTGATCTCGAAGTTGGGCGTCTACGAAGTCCTTCATTCTGTTTAACAATACCCTGTTGAAGACTTTGCCTGGTATTGAAAGAAGACTGATGCCTCTGTAGTTCTCACACTTGCTGAGGTCGCCTTTCTTTGGTATTTTGATCAGGTATCCTTCCTTCCAGTCTGATGGTACTTGTTCCTCATCCCAAATCTTCTTGAAGAGGATGTGAAATATTTTCGCGGTTGCTTCTACATCTGCTTTCATTGCCTCTGCTGGAATGTTGTCTGGTCCTGCTGCTTTGCCGTTCTTGATTTGTCTGATGGCCATACTGATCTCCTCAATCGTAGGTGCGCCAATATTAATTGGGAGGTCCTTGGATGCTGCTTCGATGTTTGGTGTCTTCAGAGGAGCTGGTCGATTTAGGAGTTCCTTAAAGTGCTCTACCCACCTATTTCGCTGTTGTTCAGTGTTGCTGATTACTTTGCCTTCCTTGCTTTTCACTGGTCGTTCTGGTTTACGATAGTTCCCGGCGAGCTTCTTTGTAGTTTCATACAATTGTCTCAAGTTTCCGTCTCTTGCAGCCTTTTCCGCCGTCGTTGCTAGATCTTCAACGTATTTTCGTTTGTCAGCTCTGATGCTCTTCTTCACTTCCCTGTTTGCTTCTGTGTATGCAGCTTGTGCGGTAACTTTCTCCGCTCTTGTTCGGCTGACATTGATTGCTGCTTTCTTGTTCCTCCTTTCTTCAATTTTTGCGAGAGTATCAACAGAGATCCATTCCTTATGATGCTGCTTCTTGCGACCAAGGACCTCCTGACATGTTGAAGTGATTGCCTCCTTAATCCCTTTCCAATTGTTCTCCAATGTTGTGTCCTCTCCATTGTGTAGATCCTGTAAGGCCTGGAACCTATTGGTGAGGGCTATCTTGAATTCGTTGAGCTTTACAGTATCCCGAAGAAAGGCCGTATTAAACTTGTGTGATGTCGTCTGTCCCGTTGTCCAGTGCTTCTTTAGTTTCAGTTTCATTTTGGCGATTAGCAAATGGTGATCTGAGGCTACATCAGCTCCTCTCCTGGTTCTCACATCCTCCATAGTCCTTCTGAACGTTTTGTTGATACAGATATGATCAATCTGGTTTTGAGTAGTGTGATCCGGTGAAATCCATGTGGCTTTGTGAATGCGTTTGTGCGGGAATATTGTGCCACCGATGACCAGTTTGTTGAAGGCACATAGGTTTGCAAATCTCTCACCGTTTTCGTTTCTTTCTCCCAGTCCATGTCGTCCCATGATGTCTTCATATCCAGTGTTGTCCATTCCAACCTTGGCATTCAGGTCTCCCATAAGAATCGTCAAATCCTTTGGTGAACATTTATCGACGATTGACTGCAGCCTTTCGTAGAATTGATCTTTGTCGTCGTCATTGTAGTCGTTGGTAGGTGCATAACATTGGATGACGTTCATTGTAATGTCCTCTTTCTTTGTTTTGAAGGATGCTTTAATGATCCTGGGTCCATGAGATTCCCATCCTATTAGTGCCTTTTGTGCATGTTTGGACAGCATCAATGCAACTCCTTGTGTATGTGAAGCATTTTCCTCTTCATGACCAGAGTATAACAGCAGTTCCCCTGAAGCAAGTCTCAGTTGTCCTACTTGTGTCCAATGTGTTTCACTGATTCCAAGCACCTCGAGGTTGTATCTTCTCATTTCTGCCGCAACTTGAAATAGTCTTCCAGTCTCCCACAATGTACGAACGTTCCATGTACCTAAAAAAATGGTTGCTCTGGTTGTCAGAAGAGGCATCAGCCCCGTGACTTCCGAGGGAACTCGGCTTTCATCACGCGACGTCATAATTCTTCCTCCAACTCCCAGGGCAGAGTTAAAATGGTTTGAATTATTTTTTCTGGTTAGCGTTTTTTTGGCAAGTTAGTTTTTGACGGAATGGGGTCGCCAACCCCATGTCCAACCCTCCTCCTTTACCCGGGCTTGGGACCGGCAGTAGCCCCTAAGGTTCTACTGGCGGAGTTACTTAGTATACCTACTTGAGCATTAAAGTCTCCAGCCATTACTACATCGGAGCGCCTAACCTTTTGGAGGATATCCGGAGGCTTTCTGTAAAACTCATCTTTAACCTCGTCTGTACTGCAGTCACTGGGAGCGTAGGCAGATATGACGAAGAGGCAACGGCGAGTGTCCCTATCCTTCCCAGTCCTTACTGTCCCGTTCAGTCGGACAGCGCACAAGCGACTATCTACTGGAATCCAGTCTAGGAGAACTAGTTCTGCCCTACGATTCAATGCTATACCTACACCAGCGAGACCCCGGGAAGCAGCATCAGGGCTACCGGATACACGAAGAGTAAATCGAGTTGCTTCTTCATCTTGACATGGTGAAGTCAAGGGAATGACGCTACTCGGGTCCTGTATGCGCGTTTCCGACACGCAGCATACATCGATGGAGCGAGATTCTAAAGTCTTAGCTAATGAGGCCTGTTGCCCTACTTGACACAACGTCAGTACATTAAATGCTCGAGGTGGAAATCCGTGAGGTAAGGTGAGGCGTAACAGTTTAGGGTCAACCTTTTCTAACCCCTACTTTCCCTGTGAGAAGGCAGCATCGCTGCGAATTTCCGTATTTATCCAATTATATAAGTTATGTAGCCTAATATCTCTTAATCCAGTTATTACTTTTACTGTTTATTTAGTATCCCTAATCTTCAGTTTTCGCAGTTGCCAAGTGATGTTGCAACTACTGAAGTTATAATTTGATGACCAAAAGAAGAGGTCTGATACTTCAGGGTTCACTAATAACTTTTCTTGTTTTATCAATAACTAGTATTTATTTGCTCTCTTTAGTTGCAAGGAGTGTCAGGCGTTGCTGAACAACCAACGCAGTTGCTATTATAAACTCAGTTGGAAATGTCGAATATATAGAAATTACAGTAATGGTGCAAGGACAGGATGGAAAAATTGGATTGTCCAGAAATGAATACCTCCTTGCTGGTTCTGTTAGCGGTTTTGTTGCCCGGGCAGTTGTACAACCCTTAGATGTAATTAAAATACGTTTCCAGGTAGGATTTGTGAATTTTTACTCAGTGTTGAATAGCTGCAAATGGAACCAATAAAAGTTTCTGGAGCGAGCAAATATCATGGTCTTATACAAGCTGTCAAGTGCATAAGCAGAGAAGAGGGCACCATTGCCTTTTGGAAGGGACATGTTCCTGCCCAAATGCAATCAGTTGCGTTCACTAGTGTCCAGTTTCTGTCCTTCGAAGTGATTCTTTCGTGGCTGCATGAAGTCGACAGTCTCTTCATTTCAGATAATAAAATATTTGGCCTACCTATTACCTACAAACCTATTGGTAATTTCTTGTGCGGATGCGGAGCAGGCTCTTTAGCAGCTATAGTCACCCAGCCACTAGACGTCTTACGCACACGTTTTATCGCTCAAGGTGAGCCGAAAACTTACGGGTAAGCCTAACCAACAATGATGTCATAATCTCTCCGTTGACTTGTGTAACAATATATTTATTTTTTATAGTTGTCCTTGGTCAAATATTTACTTACTTACCTACGCCTTTTACCCCTCGTGGAGCATAGGCTGCCGACCAGCTTTCTCCAACCTACTCTTTCCTGGGCCGTCCTCTCTAGTTTTGTCCAATAGTTGTTCATTCTACTCGTGTCTGTCCATTTCTTGGCGTAATGTGTTCCTTGGTCTTCCTCTTTCCTTTTGGTCCTTAGGATTCCTACTGAGAGGTTGTTTTATAACGCATTTGGGTGCTTTCCTCAATGTGCCCTGTTCGGTTTTTTACTCTGATGGAATCTGGTTTTATCACTCCTACAGTAGGTTGTAGCTGATGGTGTCCGACCAATGGATCCTCAGTATCTTGTGTAGACAACTCTTAATAAACACTTACATGCTGTGAATGATAATTGTTTTGAGTTCCAGTTGTTCTTCAGTTATAGAAATGCTACTCTTGCTTTGCCGATTCACGCCTTCACCTCTGCGTCAGATCCACCTTGCTCATCAATAGTGCTACCCAGATATATAAAGGTTTCTACATCTTCCAGCACTTCTACATCGATTGTGTTGTCCTGCTGATCTCTTCAATTACTGGGAGATCCGTGTGTACTACTTCGATATTGAATGGGTTCAGTGGAGCTGGTTGATTCTGAAGTTGTTCAATGTACCTTAACCACTTGTTTCGTCGTTCTGCCTCGTCGAGCTACGTTTTTTCATGCAGGAATAGGTTGGAACAAAGCTAGGGACGGCCAAATCAAAACATGGCATAAATGAATGAAGTCACTAATAAACGGATTGAGTCATGTCGATAGCTGTCGACTACCTGGCTGGGGCCCGCGGGATGGTAGTAACCGATAATATAGACTGAGTGACGGCTCAAAACTGTTTGCAATGGCTCTGTTGCATTCTTTGTGTTATCTCAAATCCGGATATTCTCCAAAAGGTTAGGCGCTCCGATGTAATAATGGCTAGAGACTTTAATGCTCAAGTAGGTAGACTAAGTGGGAATGAAAGACACCTGCGTAGATGTTATGGTGTCGCGTTCTCTAGTCATCCTGAAAGGCAAGGCGACGTCAGCCCTCAGAACCTTTATGAAGTTGAAAAGGCCATATGGAATAGGAACAGGACCCGACAGATTGACCTTGAGATTCTAAATGAGGGTGGTCCAGTTCCAACAGTTAGATTGACTGAGATCTTAGGTAGAATCTGGGAACTGGACAGAATCTCGTCCGACTGGTCTCAATCCTTGATTGTCCCAATTTATAAGAAAGGACAAAATCCCTCCTTTGACAATCACAGATTAATAAGTCTGTCTAATATAGTTTCTAAAATATTGGTCTGAATAATCCGACGCCTAACGAAAGTTCGTGAAGAGCAGACTAGAGGAACTCAGGCTGGTTTCTGACTTGGACGTGGATGTATATACCAATTATTCACACTACGTCAGGTCCCAGAACAAAGACACGTTCAGTCGCCCCATAATTGTAGTATTTCTTGACCTTAAGGCGGCATTCGACTCAGTGGCTCGTGAGGTTCTGTGACAATGTCTGTCATTAAAAGGTGTACCAAAGAAGTATATTAACCTTATACAGGCTCTCTGCTCGAACACCACTGGTCGAGTTAGAGCTTATGCAGAACTGTCATCGGAATTCTCTACTTCAAAACGGTATCCGTCAGGGCTGTCCGATTTCCCCATTCTTTTTTAACTTTTTCGTAGATATGCTTTTAGAGTTAACATTATCATCGTTCAAATCTTCAGGAGTGGACTTTTTACCAGGTGACACGCTTGTTGACTTAGAATATGCTGATGACATAGTTCTATTTGGTGAAGAGGCTGTCAAAATGCAGTCTTCTGACTATCTTAAGCAACAATGCAAGCATGTTTGGGATGCGGTTTCGCCCCTCGAAATGCAAAATGTTGCTTCAAGACTGGGTTGCATCGGCACTTGAACTAGTGATAGGGAGTGAAGTAGTCGAACGTGTAGACCGCTTCACTCATCTCAGGAGTCTCATCAGTGCAGATGGCCTGGTGACGGACGAAATCTCAACACGGATACAGAAAGCTCGATCGGCTTTTGCCAAGTTGCGTCACCTATGGCGTAGACTAGATATCATTTCGTTAATCAATGGATGGGTTTACTGCACAGCAGTTCGCTCTGTCTTACTATACGGGTGTGAAACATGGCCAGTTGGAGTAGAGGACATTTGTAGATTGCTTGTCTTCGATCATAGGTGCCTCCGAAGCATTGCTTGTAGATCCTGGAACAACCGAGTAATCAATGCTGTCGTTAGGAAACGAGTACTAGGTATGGATATCAAATCAATATATGAAGTATTGAAACTTTTATTTCTCGTATGGTGAAGGCGAAATCGATAAAATAATCAACCTTAGGATAAACGCCATAATAAACGTTGCCTACGTTGCAGCAAAACTTTTGACATTTATTAAAATAAACTCTTCACTCGGAGAAGCAAAGATTGATAGTCTTTTCTTAGTACCTGAAACTGTGTTTAGCAATTTAAATGTACATATCAACGTTCTTACATTGGAGAAATAGAGCAAAGAGTAAATGTTCTTATTTTCGAACGTGCCTAGAAACTGAATTTTTGAACTCCTCTGGGGTTACTGCCTGTCTGAATACCAAATGAAGTACGAGGGTTAGGCATGGAGTTAGTGACTCCCCATAGAAAACTAACTTTTTAAAAACGCTAACTTTTGAGAATCGCAGTAACTCTAAATGGTGCAGTGGCTCGGTATTTAATTGATACCGGACGTCCCCAATCTTTCAAAATTATTAAGGGACAAAAAACAGTCTCTGGTTAGCAGAAGCAGTTGCAATAAAAAACTTGAATCTAATTTATATGTCCAGAAAGATACGGCTATTAGTTGTCTTGGTAATTATTCTTTTTGAGAGATCTTTGAACTAGTTTGTAATAAGTTCTATTAAAAGCTAAACCGAGATTATATGCGCGTTGCAAAATACACAAATATCGATGAATAACTAACTAAAAATTGTTTTTTTTCCTTTAAGGAGCATGTCACATGCAGCTGTTTCTATCATAACTCGTGAAGGTGCTCAAGGGTTTTTCCGTGGGATCGTACCATCTCTCCTTCTTATAGCACCGCAGACAGGAATTCAATTTGCTATATATCATTCACTAAACCAAATGATTAATCGGGGAAAGGACTATTTACATCCCAATCCTATTGATAAATCATCACAATCCCATAGTAGTAACCGTTCAATCGGTATGTTCGGTTAGCTTTCGTAATTTTTTTGCTCAATGATTTAATTCAATTATTCATATTTCAAAATATATTTCAGCTCTTTCAAACGGGTGGCATCATTGAACCTCACACTTGACGTATCTGCTGGATAGATTAATTCAATTTTAACTATTTTCCATAACCTTGCACTTTTCTTTCCCATATTTTGTCGCATGTACATTCCCCTTATTTTATCGTATGAACGTAATTACTGCATCTTCTGTGGAATAGCATCTTTAGTCGTGACCAAATTTCTTTCGTTAACAAATATAAATATCATAATGAACTATAATATAGACGTTAGGTATTCTGTATTTTTTCTGACTCGTGATGATGGTTGACAACCAGATTTTTGTTGTATTTTGCATCCCATATTCCTAGGTTGATATTTTAACAAATAGCTAGTGCTAAATATCGTGGCATGTAATTATTGTATGTACAAATTTCAGCTTCTATTTGTTTGAGAGGATTTGAAGCTGACATAAATACTCATTAGTCAAGATAAAAAATTCCCCTTGTTTTAAGCAATTTAAACTTACAATTAGTTTAGAGGTACTTTTACTGTTTCTTTACTGCTGATTTAATCTGTTATGATCTCTTATGATGCTTATAATGCTTGACCTTACTACATGTACATAAACGGTGGCTTAAGGGATTATAGTGTTGAACTTGCATCAACGGAGTCCTAGGTTTGAGCCTCGTTCCGACATATGTTTTGACAACCGAAGGGTAACTAGCCCTCGCACTTAAGAGTAGCTCATATCCAAATACCTGAAGAGTGATAGATATTTTAATAACATAAATAAAAGACAAGGTATCTTTTTCTATTGGTACGCTGGATGTACTACGATTCTTGTTCATTGATTCGTTTATCTTACAAACTGTTGATATTTATTCAACTTATGATTGTTATGGTTTTCTAAGAATTCAGTGTTTGTTCACATTCACTCATATGAAAAAAGTTTCGTAATTAGTTTATTTTTGACTAGAAAGTGTATCAGTTGTAATACTGAGTTAGATTTTTCTTTTTCGTCTTTCAGTTTGTGTGGCGCATATATATTTTGGTGCCTATTGGTACCGATATTTATGTTGTAAATAAATGAAGGTTTGCAAAGTTTAAATAAGGGCTTTTGATTCTTGGGTCAAAAAGATTCTAAGAACTTTCAAAAGGCAAGTCTTTTTTCAGACAACATTTATGACAAGATAATCTGTTAGAAGATTTACAACTAAAAAATATTTCATAAGTACGCTTTAGTGCAACTGAAGCTATATGTACACTTAAGGATAACCTCTCAGTTTTTGCTGCAATAAATTTTTTTATATTTTTGAGTCCATTTTTCCAATTTTTTTCTCTATTGATCAGTACACTAAGATATGGAATTTTACTAGATAATTCTTGTCATTTGTTTGTTATAGAATTAAAAATTGACATACATCAGATTTTCGTTTCATTTTCACTATACACATATCCATGTAAATAACGTCATTCGTAGACAATGTAGTGCCTAGCACAAATATAAATTAGTCGAATTTACCATGCTCATCATCAGCACAAGAAAAATATATTAGAAGTTGGGAATCAAACAAGTCAACATGTTTGTAGCAATGATCATAGTAGAAAACAAAATCTGGAGAATATTGTTCGGAAAAAAAACGCAACTAAATTCAAGGCGTAAAAATATAAAATAGTTTTGGAGCAATAGACCCAAAGGAAAATTAAGCATAGATCTGACTGCACCATTACATGATTGAATCTCTTGATTATAAGTAGGATGGTGATTTTTTACTTACCAACCATCTTCTATATTCTCTTCATTTCTTCCATTTTATGTGATCAGTGGGATGTAGGCGTATCGAACACAATCTTGATATTTCAATTTGGCGTTCAATTTACAGCTTCATTACAATGCGGAATATTAATTTCTTTACTATTGTTTCTATTAAAAACAAGGAATATTTGAGCCAGTAATTACTTTTAATAACTTCGTTGTCAGGCTCTACAGTTATAAGTCCATCGTCATTGTTATTTTACACTTATTACCTGTTATATTCACACAATGTTATTATTATCTTTATTAAAAAGAAAAAGAAACCTATTCATTTTATTCATACGATCTATTGTTTAGGTTACAACTTTAGATCTTACTCTCAATCATTCTGACCTTCATTAAAAGATCTTTCCATTTTACAAATTACACTATATTAAAGTATTTTTACTGTAACAGATGGGAAATTTCACTGTTTTCAACATATAGGATTGTCTAAATCACTAATGCATGTCTTATTTTAGCCTTTACAAAATAACTTAATAATTATGAACTGTAGAGCTTGATGACGTAGTTATTGAAAACAATTTTTCGCTCAAATATTTTTTGCTTTTGGATGTTTCATGAGGACTTTAAACTACTGTTTTTTGTGTTCATTATGATTGTGTCCATGATTTAGGTAAGTGATTACGGCTACACATGAAAAAGCTTCTTAAGTAAGGTCAACACTAAAGGTCCTAATCACAGAGAAATATTTGGTTTGTGTATTTCCATAAGTTTATTCTAAAGGTTTTTTTAGTTTCATGTAAAGGTTTTATACTTCCAAAAATACCATGATTTTCTGACTCCCTTATTATTACCATGATTTTACCATGTAAAATTACCATTTTTAAAATCACTACTTTAAATCCAATGATGTCTACGTAATATTCGATGTTAGTCATGCGTTTCAGTTCTTAGTGTGGATAGAATACATTGCTTAACAGTGACTTTTGTCGGGAGAGTTTACGGCCGTACAATATACCAATTGACTATATATGTAGAACAATTTATTTATATTCTATCTCATAATTGCTCTTTTTCTATGAACATCAGCTTAGTAAAATATTTTATAAACCTTTTTGACTCTTAGGCCCTGTTCAATGTTTGATCTCAGGCGGTCTTGCAGGAATCGGATCTAAATGTGTAATATATCCACTAGATATGGTGAAAAAACGTATGCAAGTTCGGGTAAGATATTTGTTAACGCTAATATTTCCAAGTATTATTCACTTACTAGGAATGATCCCAATTGTTTTGAAAGTGGTCTAATCTCATTGCATGAAGTAAAGTTGTACTGATGTAGTTTCGTCCTTCAAATATAGCTAGTTATCTTATGATACAAAGTAAACGCAGCAAAGTTGGAATGTGGTGTATTAGATTCATTTACGAAATAACGATATTACGAACCTTACATTAGGATTAAACGCGCATCGAATGTTATCAAATATATTTCATAAGGCAATTATTTTCATCCCGAAAATTTCTAATATACGTTACTCTAATCACTATGAGTACAGATTAGTTGGGTTAGCCATAATAGCTTTTGATTTGTCACCTTGTCCCTTAAGAACGGGGCCTCACTGTCATTTTTTGTTAGTTTCGCTTTCGGCATACAATATTCTTATGGTCATGTTTTCGATCTTACTGCATTGAATGTTGATTTGACATCATTTAAAAGTTGAGGGTCTAGCTATTTATGCACTTTTGTTAGCGCTTCTTCTATGTTCTTTCGACGTTTAGTCGTTTACTTCAGTGTAGCACTATGAATATGTGTTTTTATTATTCTTACCAGTTAAACCGTTTTAGGTGTTAGCTAATTAATAAGTGAGTTATGAAAATATAAAAGTTCCTCAAATATGTTCACTGGTTATTTGATTTGTAGATTGTATTTTAAGTATAAAGCACAGCTTTTTATATGACTTATTTTAATTATCACAGGGTTTTGAGGAAGCGCGTGCCCAGTTTGGTCGAATTCCCAACAGAAACGGTGGTCTTTATAGGTGTTTAGTTGAAATATGGCAAATGGAAGGAGCTGCAGCGTTTTTCAAAGGATTAAGACCCACCTTACTTAAATCTTTTGTGTCTATCTCGTGCAGATTTACTGTGTATGAACAAATTTGCAGATTTCTACTTTATCAAAAGCACTCATAACATCCTGACCAACATATTCCGTAAATTTATTCTTGTAACTCATTCCTAATTTCGACAGAAAATATTTCAGCGTTGTATATTTTCAACAATCTTCTGGCTTTTGTCTATTTTTATTGAATGAAAACTGTTACCTACCATTATTAGGATTGTATTTCTTTCCATTGGATCTATCCTCAACAGTTTTTTCAAAGGCGCCTGTTTTCAAATTTTCCTATTACTTTAAAACATAGCTGTCATTATACAGTATATCATACCTATCATCCAGTTAATAGATTTGTAATCATATAATATACTTCCTGTCAGCCCTTCTCCAGTACTAAATGTTTGTTCACCTCTTTCCTCTTTTCAATAACTGGCATAGATCCTTATGTAGATGTATACTCTTTTCTGTTAACTTGAACGGTTGACCAAAATCCAGATAAAAGTTTCATATCATAGTAATATGAATAAAAGATAAATCTGGAGATATTTTTTTAATAATGATCATTTTATGAACAGATTTTCAAAATGAATGCTTTTAAATAAATCTGCTACTCCTTAAAAGGATATGCTGCCAACCTACGATATCAAGGCTCTCTTTTCCAATTTTCGCCCATCACTATTTATTTGTTGACGTCCGCACACAATTCTCAGTGCAGTATGTTCCTTGGTCTTAAGGATTCCACGTCCGAGTTTGCGTCGTGACGCAAAGCATGTAGGAAATTTCGTCTATCTAGGTAGTTGTTAGCAGCGTGAGTGATGAAATCGATTCATGTATTGTCAGAGGCACAGTGGCTTATACTGATCCTTGGCGTCTTCGTGATGCTAGTCTGGCTCTAATGGGTCGGTAATTGCAGTTTTGCTCTATGCTTGAGTGACCTAGCCTCCAAGTTGAAGATGCTAAACGACTCCGTGTTTGATCACTGTTCTTGAGGCAAAACCATGTTATTAATGCATAAGTTTGTCAACCTGTTCTGCCACAGCAACCATGATTCAATTGGTGTCACTATGTCTGAACGCTAACTTTAGTAGATAGAGCATGTCCTATGAATGTCGTCCCAGTGAATCCCATATGGTGCATTATTTACCAAAGTCGGGACTGGTTGGAAAATGCGAAGTGGTCTACCTATTTCGTTGTATGCAAGAAAGCTGGTTAGACTTTGAATGACATCGCTCAAAATTGTTTGCCATGGCGCAGCTGAATAAATCTTTTTCAGCTTTGAATTGTGTTAGTGACAACGACGAAGGTCAGATGAACCAGTATTATCGACAAGTCACGTTTTAAATAGTCATACAGTAATTAAACCCTGCTCCTCTAAGACTATAAATATGTAGAAAAATTTCCCAGAATTTAAGTCTTTATCAATGTGAAACAGTTAACATATTTTCCATCACTGATGGTCAGACATTCTGATTAGAATGGCACTGTTGCTTCAATGGTGCAAATACTCTCGCTTTGTTTATCATTACAACCAGTACTCGCTCTTAATTTTTAATCACCGCACTAACAGCGTCAGTTGAAAGCTAATTTGATTAATAGTTCCGTAGTTTTCTCACTGGAAACCCGTTTGAGATAAATCTCTTGAATTGGCCTCAGAGTAATGAAACGTGTAGATATGTAGTCAGTACTAATAGACATAATTTCAGAACAAGTATGGAATTCCTTGTCACTCCTACTGAAGCATAGGCAGTCAGGATCTTCCAACCCCGCTCTTTCCTGGGATCTACCAGCTGTTCCCGATAGCTGTTCATTTTTTTGATGTCTGCCTCCAATTTCTAGAATAATTTCACATGAAATGGAATAGGCTTTGTTGCCGTGTAGTCACTCACTATATCCTGCGAACAGACTCAAACAGTATCTTTCTATATACAACAACTTGTGATCGATCCAATTCAATCTATCAAAAAATTACCTTAGATTTCATATATAAAAGAACATCAGTAACTTAATTCATATTAGCCAATCTGCAGGTACATTTACATACGATCATATTATACATATATGCAAATGAAATACTACTGTAAATTGAAATAAGAACGTATAAAATGCAATCATCTACAAGAGAACAGAATGAAAATTTGGTAAGTCTTTACGGGTTGTCACAATTTCCAAGTAGGAAAAGCTGTACAAAGTAAAAAATAAGTCACGGTAGATATAATGCTTAAATATCAATAAATTTGTAAAGAATTAAATGTTTCACGGAACTAAATTCAGACGTCTAAATTATCATCTTCAATACTTGAATGGCGCCGTTTTCCTCCCCCAACTTCTGCTGAAGTATTCATACTACAATCTTCCAGAATAAGTGGTGGAATAGATTTCTATAACATGAGGGAAAAACAAAGATAAAATATTGATTACATCTTGGCGAATGCTCTCGAGAACTGAACGAAACGCAAAAAACAAAGGAGTTAAAATTAAGATGTAGCAGCTTTGAGTTCAAACTCCGCCTGGGGCCCCTCCAGTCCCAAGCACGGATAAAGGAGGGTTGGCGAACCCATCGCGAACTAACTCGCTAAAAAACGCAAACCAGAAAAATTGATCCAAACCATTTTAATTCTGCCCTGAGTGTTGAAAGGTGTTCTTTCAGAAGAGTTACGACGTTTCATAAAAAAAGCCGTTCCTTCGGAGGTCATGAGGCCGGATGCCCCTTCTCACAAACAGAGTAACCATTCTTTCAGGTACATGGAATGTTCGAACATTGTGGGAGACATGAAGACTACTCCAAGTTGCTGCAGAAATGAAAAGATAACGTGGAGCTGCTTGGGATCATTGAAACGCATTGAACGAAGGTTGGACAACTGAGCTTTAGGAGAGCTGCTGTTGTACTCCTGCCATGAAAAAGAAAATGCTCCACATATACAAGGAGTTACACTGATGCTGTACAAACAAGCACAAAAGGCACTGATAGCATTGGAATCTCATGGGCCTAGGGCACCTGATCATCATAAGTGAGAGAACAACAAAGGCATCACTCTTCTCTCAGTACCAGGTAGTCTTCAACAGGTTTCTTCGACACTATGGCGTGCCAGAGAAGATAGTCGACATCATATCTAGTTTTCATGGTGGATTAAACTGCAAAATCGTGCGTGGAGGACAGATGACATACTCGTTCGAGGTGAAGATCGGTGTCAGAAAACGTTGCTTACTCTCACCCTTTCTCTTTCTCCTGGTGATCGATTGGATTATGAAGACGTCAACAACTGGAGGCAAGCATAGGATACAATGGACAGCTCGGATGCAGTTGGGCGATAAGGACTTCGCAGACGATCTGACTCTTCTATCACACACGCAACAAATGCAAGAGAAGACAACCAGTGTAGCAGCAACAGGCCTCAACATCCATAACGAGAAAAGCAAGATTCTACGATACAACACATACGCTAACCAAATCACTCTTGACGTTGATGCCTTGGAGGATGTTAACACGTTTACATATCTGGGCAGCATCATCGACAAGAAAGGTAGATCTGACACAGATGTTAAGGCGCGGATCGGCAAAGCAAGGTCTGCATTTCTACAATTGAACATCTGGAACTCAAAACAACTGTCAAGACAGAGCGGAAACTTGGAGAACTACGAAAGCCATCATGCAGAAGATGCAAGTATTCATCAACAGTTGTCGAAACAAAATACTTCGGATCCGCTGGCCAGACACCATCAGCAACAAACCCACTGTGCGAAAGAACAAACCAGATACCAACAGAGGAGGAAATCAGGAAGTGCTCGAAGTGGATGGGACACAATGAGGGAAACAACCAATTTCGTCATGAGACAAGCCCTCACTTGGAACCCTTAATATAAAAGGAAAAGTGGTGTGTCAACGAACACATTACGCCAAGCAATAGATAAAGACATGCGAAGAATAGACAAAAGCTGGAAACAACTGGAATGGGAAACCCAGGGACAAAGTTGGTTGGAGATAACTGGTCGGCAGCCTATGCTCCATTGGGGGTAACAGGCGTAAATAAGTAAGTAAATCATCGGTAATAATCTATCCTAGCATTTTTTTGATATCTCTGAAAATAACCACACTTACAACCCACACAATAAATATACCTACTACACTTAGTATAAAGACAATTGTTTGAAAATCAGGTTTTTATTCTGTTCATTTTATTCGGCCCAATAAAGTTCCCTACAATGATGGTAACATATGACATGAAACAAGTGACACTGAAATATTGGCCTAATAATTAGAAAAACAAATCAATCGATGAAACTAAATTCAATTGTATCGGTGTTAAGATATTCATTACGAAGTTTGAGTTAGATTTAATCTGCACGAAAAGTGGAAAGGGAGGCACAGGACAGAGAATATTGGAGAATGCTGGTCTGCGGCCTACATTCCATTGGGGGTAACGAGTAAGTATGTAAGTCAGTAAGCTTTAGTTCAAGGTAGCATCGGTGTAAGGTCGGAACAATATTATGAGATCAATACTTTGTTTCTTCAGTTTTAAACAAAAAGATTTCATACAAATTTCACCATTTATAAACTTAAAGAAAGGAAGATTACATATTGCATTACGGGGTTGTGAAGATTGCTAAGTTGCATATTTGAAATCATGAATCGACCAAAGTTAGACCATTATTAGAAACCGTCCAGTGTTTCCAGGTTTCTAATGGTGGTCTAACTTTGATCGATTCATGATTTCAAAAGATTACACATTGTATCCGAATAACATGAATTCATTTATTTCGTGGATACTCTTCAGCCTCTTACAAATTTATATCGGAAATATCTAGGGATAGAATAATATGAAGTCATTATACGGAAAATAAAACTTTAAAACTATTGTTGAATAACAAAGAATTTTTTCCAAACGAACTTTTCAACTGCCCATAGCTTTCAAAGTGTTGGAAAGTTGCTCAGCATCACGCAATAAGCTAGTGATTACTTAATGTTTGATTATTTTCTGTGGCGTATCTCTATATGGTTCCCACGACTGCTTAATTTATTGACCATTATCAAAATGATGCATCAGACATCAAGTGAGTCGTTGCGATTCAGAAATTTTTCATGTGGGTGTCATAAACTCCATTGGAAACTAACGAGCGTAAACCATGTAGAACACGAAAAATAGTACAAACACATTCGGAAAAAAAGCATGAAACCAATCGAAAGCATGTGATGATAGGTTAACGATGGTACTAGGCCTACATATAATGTATCATCTAAAAATTATGCTTTAATAAGCGTCATGAAGTGCCTCTAAATCGTAAAGAAGATAGAAAATAACCACGTCCACAATGCTTGCCGATCAGCGTTCATTTCGATTGACAAATTTCTCATATTCTTAAACCAATAGTACAAATTTTTTAATAGCTAATTGTAAGTTAGAAAAATTGTGTACAGATTGACTTACTGCAGTATCACTGGATTTTCTAGACAATGATGAATTAAACGATGATGAGGCAAGTGTTAAAGTAGGAGGATTTTTACAAGTATCCAATGAATTATCTTCTGTTTCAATAGACCAAGATGGCTAACGTTTTAAAAAATCAAATATGATTAACTGTTTCATTATGTTTCAGTAAAATAAGCACATACAATATAAAACATGATTTAGAACATTTTCAGTTACAATTAACAACTTTATTGATACTCTATTTCATGAACTAGATGATTTAATTAAAGAAGCTAATGGTAACATTCTGGACAATAGCTTCAACTTTATGAAGTTAACAAACTCACTCACTACAGAGGGAACATAATGACAACAATAAAAAAATTGAACAGAAAACCTTATTTTCGGTGAATTTCGTATTCAGTTCGTTGTAGCCTTTGCACTAGTCAATATGCAGACAACTTTCTAGTGACCAATAATGCGACAACAATGAGAGACTTGCTACTCTATGCTTGATTAACGGCACAATACTAAGTTGCCCAACCGAAAGGGAAGAACGAAGACCAATGACCATCGTTACAAGGTTTTTTACTATATTTCAGACATTTCATTATATACACACAAAAACGGACCACATCGAACTAATGAATGGAGATTACCAACAATGAATTGTCGACAAGATAAGAACAGTAAACTGAATGATAATAATTTATGAGTTGGTAATATAATTATATGATATACATCAATAGTCCATTAATTAATTGCTATCATCTGGTAGACCACATAAATGTAGCATACACCTACCAACATGACTCAATCCATTTGTCAGTGACTTCATGGATTTGTGCCATGTTTTGGTTTGGCCACCCCTAGCTTTCTTCCAACCTACTCCTGTACCAAAAAACATAGCTCGACGAAGCAGTCGGTGGTTGAGCATTCGTAACACATGTCTCAACCACCTGAACTAATGAAGTTTTAACACTTCATATACCGATTTGCTATCCCTAACTAGTACTCGTTTCCCAACGACAGAATGGCTTACTCGGTAGTCCAAAGATAAACGAGTACCTATGATCGAAAACCAGTAAACTAAGAATATCCTCTTCTCTTACTGGCCATATAGTTCAGCACATTTTCTAGTTCTTGAGTTTATGCAGAAATTTTGTAACTCAGGTGGATGATTTTCGTAGGGTTTCGTTCTTTGTGCTGGATAATTTAATGTAGGGGCTTTCGTTGTTCTAAACAATGCATCCGTTCATTGTGTCCTGTTACAACAGCACAACATAAAATCATTTAAAGTCAAGTCCCGGAGTAGCAGTAGTGATAGCTAATGACCCTGTACCATGTCATACAAAAGTTTAAAGCCTCTGGTTACAATAACCCTGAGAACTCCAACTATGTAATCTGCACCTTTTAAAATGGTTCAGTCCAATTTTCGATGACTTTATTGACTGGTGTCAGGCTTCGGATTGACCACTCATAGCTTTCTTATAGCCCATTCATAAACCAGATAGCATCACTTGTTCAGATAAGCAGTGGTATTGCTTGAGTACGCTGAGACCACTAAATGTAGAGTAGTAGGTGAAGATGACAACTTGCACAGATATACACAGATGAACACAGTTCGGTATTTAGCTTATGACTGAGTGAACATAGTTTAAAAAAAATGTAGTGACTACGAAGTTCTTGAGACAGATGAAATGTTAGTATACTTGTAGGTTCATCAAAATCACTTTACTCAAATTTCAGTAGCATTTAAATACAAACCAAGTAATGAAACAGAAATCTATTCATATTATTTAGTACCTATATAATTAGTTAAGCTGTATAAAGAAAACAGCTACCAATATTTTGTTGATGAAATGAACTCTTATTGGTGACAAGCGCAACCAACTCCTCATTTTTTTATTTTCTCTATGATATCACGGGAACGAACGAAGATTTAATATTAGGAAACACCCTGGCGTGATATAGTAAAATAATTATTTGCAAAGACTTACGGATGTTTTCGAATTATAACAATAAGGGGTTGAGGAGGAATTCGGTTCTGGTACATTTACTTGCAGTTGTTCAGACCATTGATGATAAAGCTCCATAGCTATGAGATTTCGAATGGTATTACTTGCTCGTGTCATGACAGTATGAGCAAGTATACATAACAATTTATGAATAAACTGTAACTTGGACTTAATTAATCCATTATTTAAGTCATTCATGATTGGATCCAATAATTCATGAACCAATTCTTTTAAATCGGAGGGCGAAGTATGGTTTCTGTATATTTTTTTGAAGAAAAAAAAACAGGATGAAAATAGTTCGTGAACTATAAGTTGCAAAGTATTCTTAAAAGCGTGAAATAGAAGCCTCTATCATTAAAGCTACTTTCAACTAATACTGATGCAAATATTCAGTAACAACATAGTATTTCAAGCATATGAAAACAAGATATAGGTTTCATGTGAATAGGGACAAAACTAGCAGGAATAACCATATCCCACAGAATGTTGACCATTTCAGTGTATTTTACAGATAGTATGTTTATAAGTTTGAGGCAAACGGTACTAATGAGGATATTCTGAAGTCATACTAGTTAAACCTTTTGCAATAACTTAATCAATAGGTAAAATTTATTAACACTCTTAGTAATTCATGTGTATATTTCGTTTACACAAAGACTAATTAATTGATTTCTGAATATCATATATTGTTGATAATTATTGCAATAATAGTAAACGGCACGATTTTTTAAAGAAAAATAGAAAAAACACACAGCTAGCCATTACAGATATACATGTTATTCAAACTAGGACGAAATGACCGTCCAGTGCTTCCAGGTTCTTAACGTTAGTTCAGCTTAGTTCGTTTAATGATTTCAACTACATAAATAAAGAAATACTCGTTCACTAAGTCTATAGGTCACGTAGAAGTTTATCAGTTCAAAAAAGAATTAATAGCAAGTTAATATATAACAATGCTCACAAACTTCCTTTAAGAAGTCTGATAAATGCATAAAATATAGATCTACAAAAAATAATGATAAGCTGAGATTTTGTCTGTGTTCATTAAATTATCAGTTGAACTCATGAATGAAATTTCTAGTACGAGTTCGAGTATGGGGGTTACTTAAACAACAGTAGTGTTTGTAAAGACTTAATAAAAGTAAAATAATAATAATAAACATTCTCCGCTAATCTGATCAAAATAGATGAGATTAAATAGTAATAAATCAATCATTTATAATCAGTGGATTATTGAACCAATTATTTAGTGACAATATAATACTAGTAGCAAATGGTTTCGCGTATTTAATACAATAAATTGTTACAACAAAAATAAACCAACAAACATACTTAAAGCGAGGTGAAAGTACCATTAATTCATCGCTTGAAATCAATGTACTGACAATCCGCTCACCACTAGACAACAATTGATTGGCCCAAGAATACCAACTAATATCACCACAGTCGTTATTAAAATTTTTTTCTGTTGATGATGCATTTAAAATTTGAGATGGATTATCAATTGAATCAGATGGAGGCAGAACAATGAGCTGACTACCTTGTCGACTAAGTCGAAGTCGAAGACTATGATTTTTAGGAACCGGTGAATTAGATGAGTTGTTCAACTGAACAGACTCATCATTTGAATCAACAGTAGTGCTTGAATTCATGACAGAGGTATTCAACTGATTCGTATTGCTTTAAGTTAAAACAAAAAAGAAGAAATAATTCAACATAAAGGTATGTAGATAAATAATCAACTCGCCTCCGATTTGATTAAGGTTTAGAAAGTTTGCATAGTGCGGTTTAAAATCTACCGCAAATCCATTTATTCATTTTATTTCCCTAGATATTGAGTTTCAATATTATTTTAAACACTTTATATTCCATTTCGTTCTTCATACTATATCCAGTATTTCTTATAACCATTGTTATTTTGATCCCTTAATTATTTATCTTGGCGATTTCCTTGCACTGTGTAAATGTTGTACAGTGACGTCGTAGGAGCAATCGATTTCCCAACAACAGATCACAGGTTTAATAGTTCCACATAGTTTTCTAGGGCCTCTCTTGAGGATGCTGAAAAACTCAACGAATTCAAGATAGCTTACAGTAGCTAGTTGCAAGCCTTTCACAACCTACTTGAGGAAGAGGAAACTACCATGCAGAATAACTTGAAAGGGATTAAAGAAGTAGTAACTTCAACATATCAGGTTTTGGACCGCACGAGGCAACATAGAAAGGGAGATAATTATTGAAAACAGTAGAACAAAAGCAGGGAAGCCAAGGTACAGGCAGAATACACAGATCTAAACAAATAAGTGAAGCGGAAAACTGTCAATGATAAATGAAAATATAGGAAAGACCTACCGATGACAGCGGAAAGAGCTGTAGGAGAAACAAAATATGGTAAATCAGAACGACTGGTCAAGAACAAGAAACGTAAAGCAATCACCGGTATTCAATATCAGAGAAACAGGTGAGTAGAGCACTTCGGATGACCTTCGAATAGACCAGCCTTATTGAACGCACCCAATATCGAAGCAACACCTACGGACCACCCAATTGACGCTGACCCACGAATAATCGATGAATTTAGCATGGTCACCCGATAAATCGAGAGTGGTAAAGCGGCAGGATCAGACAAAATTTCAGCCGAGGAACTGCAGTCAGATAAGGGGTGACTTCAAAAATGTACCACATCCTCTTGAGAATATCAAGATTGGAAACAGGGACACCTCAACATGATACCAGATAACTCAGTAGTTATGACAACTACAGTGATCACACTATTATCAGTGCCATGAAAATTTTTCGACAATGTTGCTAAAGTCAGTAGACACCCAACTTGAAAATCAACAGGCTGGCTTTCGTTTTAAGAAACGAATGAAGTGAGATACTGGTGACCGCTTTTAAGCAATCAACTGAAGAGAACTCATCTTTATACAGAAATCCCTTTGTTTGTGAGAAAGTATTCGATGGTGTGGGTTGGAGAATATTGTGAAATCTTCTACACTATGGAGTACTTGGGGAAATCGTCACCCTAAAATATGACATAGAGAGCATCACCCAAACCACATTTGATAGCGAGCCTTTGGAAGTTGTGGAGGCCTTCGTGTATCAAGGCAGGTATTATTAATAAACAAGAGACATCTGATGCAGATGTGAAGGCACGAATCGGTAAAAAAAGACTGGCATTCATACGACTGAAAAACAGCTGCAACTCAAAACAACTTCAAACAAAAATCAAAATCCGGATTTCCAAAACAAGCGTTAGGACAGTTTTTTTGTGTGGAGCTGAGACTCGGAGAACTAACGAAAGTATGATTCAAAAGATACAGGTATCCATAAAACGTTGCCTACACATGATACTTCGGATCTGTTGACAAGAGATCATCAAAAACAACCTGCTTTGACATATAACAAACCAGATTCTAGCTGAAGAAGAAATTAGGGAAAGTCGCTGGAAGTGGATAGGAGACACATTGTGGGGATCGCCTTCTAAATGCGTCGCAAGGTAAGCTCTAACGTGGAATACTCGAGATCAAAGAACACATTGCACTAGGAGTTGGAGGCATACATCAAAAAATGAATAGCGATTGAGAAAAGATAATAAAGAGAACCCGGAACAGAGTGGGTTAGAGCATCCTGGTTGGCGACTTATGCTTCATGAAGGGTAACAGGCACAAGTAAACTTTAGAAGATAACTTTACGCTAGCAAATATAATCAAAAATGTCAACTCTCCTATTTTTAACGTGTGTATTTATAATAAATCCGTGAGCAGACAATAAACGCTGTGAAATACTAAAGTTCAATATTGACTTCTTTTTTCCTAACAGTATAAGATGTATATCAGTCAGTCCTAACCAACACACAGCCTGGGACAAATGTACGTTATTACAAATTACTATAAGAACTCAAAATTTAATAGTATCAGTGAAATTGGGAACAATTAACCATGGAGGAATGCGGTTCGAAGAGAAAGGAATGAACTTGAGAAATAAAAAGTATGAAATAACGTTAAGGTCTACGGCTTACGTAAAAAGAAAATGTTAATTCGCCTGCATCATTGAAAATTAACAATCTGGTCAATCCGTGCCATCTGAGTACATGTATAGAACTGACTTATTGCATGAACAAGAAACATAACATAAGAAAAAACATATGCGTAACTTGTAGCAAAGCGAAAAATTGATTAACCCAATGCGTGAACTAGAAAAAAAACGCCTGGAGGCGGTATGGGAATGGGTAGGAAATATACTATGATTACTAATAATAATCAAACCAACAGAACATGAAACGTTATCACATACACAGAAGTCAAACTCACCACCTATTAAACTCATTTTCACATGCATCCAGATCTGATTTTTCATTATTTTCAACCTCCATATTACACTTTTCATCTGAAGTAATAATCTGGGAACTTTTGTTACTTCCTTTTTTGATAAGAAAAGGTAAAATTGAATAAGCAGGAGCCTTTTTAAAAGTTGACTTTCTGGCTTCTTTTCGGTGTGTCACAAAATTTGAAGCAGAACCGCGATTTTCATCTAGGCTTTTCCCAAGCTCAAATGTAGATGGCGACACGTTGGAAGATTCTGTAGCATCAGAAACGCGAGTAACTTTATGAGATATTTCACTGTCCATATTCACAAAATCTTTGGATTCCGAAA